CTTCCCGACTCCTGTACAGTAAGGATGAGCAGGTCGTGACACCCCATCCCACTCACGCGACACCCACGCCACGGGCTGAGGAGAAGGGAGTCTTGGGGCCTGGCATGTGCCCAGCAGGAAGAGCTTGACAGCCCAGGCACTGGCTCTGGGCACCCCGTCACGACGTGTGCAGATGCAGTTAGATGTCACCCGCACAGCAGATGGCACAGGGTGGGCATGAAAAGGACAAAAGATAGCTACAGGCTTTTGGCCACGGTTCCGACCAGGAGCCAGATCTGGACACCTTTAGAATGGGACCTCACTGGCCTCAGTGCTGACGACACAGCACTGTGCAACTCTGTGGACAGTGTTAGGTCCCTCGCTTGCCTGGGGGACCTGGTGAGTGCACATATTCAAGTGGGGTACAGCATGGCTTAAGAGGCAGCACCACCCCTGAAATACAGCCACGACATCTGACCCACACAGGGATGGATACACGGAGCTGCCCATCCCACAAGGGACTGGCAGATTGCTTATATCTGTCCCTTTGATGTGCCTTGGCCTGTGCAGACACAGCTGCTGGCCTTGCACTAGGCTTTCCTAGCAAGAAAGCTAAGCAGACACCACTGGCCTTGAGAGGTTAGGCGTGGTTTTGGGTCCCTGCATCACAGTGACAGTGACTGGGGAACCCCTTTCGGAGGACAGGCTGTCCAGGACTGGCCCCAAACACATGCTATCTCACAGCGCTCCCCTCTGCGATGTCGCCTCGGCAGGTGGAGAGAAAACGGCTCCTCAGCAAACCCACCTAGCCAGCTTGCTCAATTTGATTTCCTGTGAGCACCAAGGCGCTCCCCACTCCGCCCCAAGGGCCACCTGCATCCAAGCTGTGCACCTGGATTCCGGGCAGGGACAGCCCTTTTGCTCTGCACACAGCAGCCACTGAGTCAGGACAGGGGCCGGCCGTTCAGTGGGGCGCAGTGGCCTGGTCCCTCTGCGAGCATCATCGCCGTGGATCCTGGAGGACTCTGGACCTGTGATCAGAGCTCATGCGCTGAGGGCAAAGAAAGCACCTTTGGGCCGTGTTCAGCCCCCGCTGCCGTGCACACCGCGGTCTGCTCAGCCCACTCTGAGGACCACCACGCTGGCTGACGCATTCGCCTTCACAGGCCCCTACTGAACACGTGCTCTCATCCAGAGCTGTGGCCCCCAGCCATTCGCTCTGGAACCTGTGTTGTTATCAAGACAAGATGTACCCAGCCCCGGTGTCACACACCTCAGGTCGCACATGAAAACACAAATTAGTACCTCTGTGATCCAGCCCCTCCTGTGGAGACACACTAGGCCGCTGGCTTGGTTCCTGGGGCTCCTGGAGGGAAAGTGTCTTTTGCCTAACTCTTGTGCCTCTCCAGCACGAGCCTCTGCTCACCCGTGGGTGAGGCCCGCTGCCTGCCAAATACCAAAACCTCCTGCAGGCTCTGGGCGCACCGTGGAAGTAGGAGGGGCGTATGACACTGTAGAGACTGGCTAAGGGGATGGGATATAGGGACCCGGCTTGACGTGATCGTGGCCATTTTGAGTTGTAACCATTACTCCCTGAGTAACCCTGGTTAGCTGTCCCTAGTTTCCCAGCATGCTCTGAGTAAAAAAAGCCATGTTTTAGTAATGGACCCTGGTGTCATCAATACCAGGAATGTTCGGGAACTATTGACGTTAGCTTGAGATAACCAGATGGACTCCAGCTTGAGGTCACATTTATCCCGACTACTTTGTAAGACCCCCTTTTCTGAAATCGTGAGGAACCACTGAGCTCGCTGCCACTCAGGACCATAAATTTTACTCCGTGCAGTCCTGCATCCATCTGCCTCTTCTGTGTCTCAAGGACTTTTATTTTAGCCCCACCAGCCCTTTTTGTGTTGGGTTTTTTCGAGATAGGGCCTCAGGAACTATTTGCCTGGACTGGCTTTGAACCTCGATCCTCCTTGATGTCTGCCTCCTGAGTAGCTGGGATTACAGATGTGAGCCTCTAGCCCCTGGCTTCAAAGACCTTTTTTGGTCTTCAATGCACTCGGACAGAGTTTTTCTGGACCAAGAGCCAAGAATAACTCATTTTCCACAAGACTACAGGAGCGTCCAGTAGGGAGGGAGCCACCTTTTCAAGAGATGGCGCCAGGAGAACTGGATAGCCACATGCAAAAGAAAAACTTGGAGCCTTAATTCAGACCATGCAAAAATTACCTTGAAATGGAGCAAAGAGTAAGAGCTGAAATGACCGTGGATTGGGTCAAGGATTCTCAGAGTAAGCTCTAAAGGCACAAAAACAGTGAACTAACTGGGACTTCCCCAGTGAGGAAAGTTTCCACTCAAAGGACACTGATGAGTGTGGCAGAACACACAGGACGAGGAACATCTTTGGATCACGTGTCTAAAAAGGAATTGTGTCTAGAATCTACAAAGATCAGCTCAATAATATGGGTAACCCAATTAAAAAAGCCCAAGGATCTGCGCGGACATTTTCCCCACGGAAGGTAAATGAACAGGGATTAAACACGCGAAGAGAACTTGCCCCCATGGGTCACTAGGGAAATGCAAAACCAGGACACACGGCCTCTTGGCAATAGGGGGATGTCATGCAAGTCACATGACAAGCTGCAAGAAACCGGAGCCCTCCGGCACTGTGGGCGGTTGGGTTTCTCAAATGATTCAGTTGCAGACAGCTTAGCAACTCCACGCCTAGGTATGTGACCGAGAGAAATGCACGCGTCCACATAAAAACGTGTACAGAAATGCTAAGAGGACTATCAAGGTGGGAACCACAGAAGTTTTGTCTCCCAACTGGATAGACAAAAACTGGTGTGTCTACACAATGGGAAATTTGACTACTCAAACATAAAGGTTGAACTTTTGAAGTTTCCTACAATGGATGGGCCGTGAACACATACTAACTGAAGCCCGTCACTTGACGGCCTGGACTTGTTCTCAGGAAGCATCCGGGGCAGGTTATCAGGCAGGATGACAGATGCTACCGTCACACCTGGAGGTGAGGTGAGGTGCGAGGTTAATAGTATAGCCTAGTGAAGAGCCCTTGTGTAACACACGAGGCCTTGGGTTTGATCCCCAGCACCACCAATGAAACTGTCAAGCACTGTGATTTATGCAGATTATCTCCTCTAGTCCTTAAAAGATAGCGCTGGTAGGCACGCCGGGTATGGTGGTGCATGCCTGTAATCCCAGCACGCAGGAAGCTGAGGCAGGATTGCCAGGTCAAGGCCAGCCTGGGCTACATAGTGAGACCTTGACTCAACCAGCCACCCCCTTAGGTTAGGAATGGATTGGGAGCAGGAAGATGGTGTTGGAGGTTACTGCAGCTGTCCATGTGTGTTCCTTAACTACTGCTGTAAATTCTCCCAAATCCATCCTCTTCCCTCCTTGGCTCACTATTCTGGTCTTAAGCTTAATAAACTTTGGTGGTGAGCTTGAATAAAATGCTACTTTTTCTTGAAAAGGAAAAAAGGCACCATTGAGGTGGGCATCCCTCCATGCCCCCTCCCCAAAAGAAACATGTAACTGTTTCAGTGCGTACTCCTTACAGACTTACAGCTGGGGCTGGGGGCATGGCTCGCGTGGTTGAGGGCCTGTCTTCTGAGGAACCCTGAGTTCAAAACCCTGGCACTGCTCTAAAACAAGTGAAAAACCCACAAAAGCAAAAAACCTTGCAGCTGTTCACTCTAGCAATGCCAGAGGTCGGTGGAAGAGACCAGAAGGAAAGGCCACTGTGGATGAAGGGTTAGGCTGGACAGTGGTTTCATCTCTTTTGGGGGCCAAACATTTATTGTGTTGGCCGTTAATCCTTCAACATTTTCATCACCTAAGAACCCATGCTACTTGAGGGGCTTTACCAGCTGCTGCACTTAAGGCTATTTAGGGATTCATCTCACCGAAGCTAGTCAACTAGACAGCTGCCTGGCTAACCAAGAGCCTTCCACAGCACATGACTGTGTTGAGCACAGGACAGAAACGACACCACCTGAAGGTACACAAAGCTGTCCTGGTGCACCAGGGAGGAAAAGTCTAGTGGTAAGGAAGGTTAAGACCACATGCGGGCCTGTGCATGGTGTGCCGTGCTGCCTGGCACTGCCCTTGCCCACGCTTACTGACTTTACTGTCACTGCAGTGTTTCCACCCAGATCCACGAAGCCTTGGAAGTCTGTCCAGGGAGAAATACCTGCACCTGATCCTCCTCTGGCATGTCACTTACTTTACTGCTGTGGCAGGAAGCACAGTGTCTGGAGGAAAGGGATCCTTTCTGAACTCAGTGCCCAGTGCCATTTGACTCCTAGCATATAGTTAAAAGCTTACTGAATAGGTCAATTGTCAGAAATACCTTAAAATTTACCCAGTGTCTTGATAAAGGATTTAAGATTCTAGAGTATAATTTGTGTTATTTTAAAATGAAGCTTATCTTTGTTTAAAAAAAAATAGGCCAAACTATGCAAATATATTTACACATAAATTCACGAAAACCCAAGAATTCACTGGGGGGTGGTGTTGCAGTCTGTAACCCAGCACTAGGGGGCTGTGACAGGAGGAGGGCGAGGTGAAGGCCACCTGGGCTGCACCGCCAGCCATCTCAGAGATTATGAACGTGACCATGTATTTCTCATCAATTTTTTTATTGTACTACTTGTGCCAAGGAACGAAATTATTCACTTGCGTAGAGATCCTGTTTACGAGTATAACAAATTCATTTAAATAAGTTTAATATTCCATAAAAGACAAGCATCTTAAATACAAATTTGATAACTGTCATTAAAAAATTAGTAAAAGCGAAGTCAGGTTTTTGACAAGGCAGTGTAACACTTGGCACTGACCTGACTGAATGGCCGCACCCGCACCGCCACTGTCAGGCTGTCAGTACCCAGCACAGGCATTTTCATCATTTTCTCACCGTCCACACTGCTTTCTGGTAGAAAAGTAACACAGAAGCGCACTGCTGTGCTTGCACTGAAACCCGAGAAGCCCAGCTGACAAGCAGGCTGCTTCTAGATGACCCGTTACTAACGTACGAATGTCTCCTAGGACACTTACTTATTGATAGCCTCGCACACAGGCCGGCTGCAGAGCAGGGTGCTTGTTTCCTCCCTGCATCTCCCACCCCTCTCCTTCACACACATATGTGCCTGAGCTTGTGATGACTACCAGGATCTCTGTGATCAGTAGCAAGTACCTTCACAGCAAGAAAATTCTTCTGCTACTATCTTTGGCACACACAGGTGCACCGAGCGAGGATCAGTAAAACAGATTTATTTTGCATTTCTTTCTCAAATCCTTCCATGAGGTTGCTAGTAAGCAGTGAACCGGTCAATCTAACCTGGGTAAGTAGTCTCTGAACTAAGAGGCGAAAGATAAACAGCCTTTAAGTTTACTGAACAAGAAATGCCTCTGCAAGAGTTAACCAATGCATTACTCAGAAAATTACTCTTTTGAGGTAGATTACACAAAATCTGTGAAACTACAAAAAGGCAGTAAAATTACATGCCCATAATTCAATTTCAACATAGTAACAGGCAAAACCCAACAAATAAAATACATAATGGTTAGAAATCTTAATCACAGAATCAAAGTGCATAAAATTACAAAATAATAATGTTAAAAATAATCAATATAGTTCAATGATTCTCATTTTAACACTGGTCTACATTTTACCTACAGAATGGACACAGGACAAATGCTGACTAGCATATAAAATCATTACTAAAGCAGAAATCCCATCTCAAAAATCTAACAGACACTGAGTGTATACTTTACAGTAATTTATTTGACATTCCAATAATAAGCTGTATTTACATATTATATAAATGTATGAAGTCTTAATATAAAATAGAAAAATGCCGGACTAAAAGAATCACACTCCACATGGAGTTACTTGACTTATTGAAGACCCTTCTCTTTACAAAAATTTACAATAATTTATATAAATTATTTTCTTCCAAATTAGACCATTTTTAATAATCCACACAATTCTGATGACTTTACAAATAGGTGTACATTAAAATCTTGGAAAAAAAATTTATAGCATTTTCCTGCGTAAAATCTGCTTCGGGAAGGAAGACAGCTTCCTCCGGCCCCTCCCCAGAGCTCTCCCTTCGAGGTCTGCAGCTTTTCTTGGCTTGTTCTTCCCTTCGTCCACTGGGCTTGCCAAGGGAGAGATCAGCTGGATTTCTACTGGAGGAGGGGACCAGGAGCTTTCTTTTTCTGTGTTTCTGAAAGAAAGCCATAACCGAGTATGAACAAGACTCTGTCATCCATCAGTGAAGTGGCTTCTCAACACCATGGGAGAAACCTCTGGAGCGACCTTGCCTCTCTTTTGTAAGACAGACAACAGTTTCCAGGGAGGTGAAGGACAGCTTTAAAAGTCACATAACCAAATTACAGGCCGAGTTAAGGTTTCATGTGAGAGATGGGATGGCCAAAAACGATTACTGCAGGCCAGGTGGGAGGTCTGGAGTTCAGGAAAAACAAACAAACAAACAAACAAACAAAAAACCAAAGAATTACCCTGTTCTTTAATGTATGCTAATAAAAAGTAGTTGAAAAAAAAAATTACCCTTCTCAAAATAGGTCACTGAGGGGAGGTCACTAATGGGAAAGGGAGGATAAAAGGAGGAGGTTAAGGTAAATATGGCTGATGTACTTTCTATGAAAGAATGAATAATAGAACTTTTAAACCTGTTGAAATCACCATAAGAAGTAGACTAAGATTTATTCAGGTCATAATACATACATACATAGAAATGTCACAGTGAAATTTCCTGTATAGGAAATGTCTTTTTTCAAACATGGAGAATGGGCCCTGTCTGGGGACTGACACCAGCAGGAAGGGGGAGGAGGATATAAGGAAAGGGTGTAGGAAGGTGAGTATGGTGGGAGTATTATGTACTCATGTGAGAAAACGGAGAAGTGAGACCAGTTGAAACTATTCCAGGACTGGGATAAAGGAGAATGATGGAGGGGGTGAATTCAACTATGATACATTGTAAGAACTTTTGTACATGTCACATTGTACTTTCAGCACAATAATAATAAAAGGAAAAAAAAGCAGAAAAAAAAATGAACAAACAAAAAAGTTACCCTTCTCCAATGAGCCTCTTTGGTGTCCTGGGATTTGAGGTCAAGGCTTGTGCTTGGCTAAGCAGCGCTATGCTACAAGAGCCACTCTGACTTACTTGCGTGCTTGTCTCCTCTTCGTGGTCCTGGCTCTTTCCACTCTCTGCTCTCTCACAGCTTGTACTGATTCAGCGTCATCTTTCTATGGGTTAGAATTGTAAAGAGACAAATCTTAAGTAATTAACCATTTGAAATCTGAATTTAAAGTTCTATTCTAGGTCAAGGAGGGCAGCCTAACACAGTGGATAAGCTAGCAGGTCTGAGACTCCATTGACTCCTTAGCAGAAGCCATGGCCATGCTGTTCCCACACTTGGACAGCTCTCCAGTCTTGTCACTTTTACTTTGGTATGTCCTTACTCCCCACTGTCCTTCTGTTCCCACTGCCTCAGTCGCAAACCCAGGCCATCTCCATCTTGCAGGGAGTAGGCCACCAGAGACTATCTTCTCTTCCCCAGAATCCATCTTCCATGGAAACTTTACCTAAAACACACATTGCTATCTGCTAGTTTGTGACTTGTATCCCCTCGCCTGCCACTGCTGTTCCTGATCTCTGAATCTATAGTATTCCCTGCCAGGAATGCCAGTCTCCTATATGTCCTGTCTACAGAGAACTTTGGGCATGAATGATTCTTATTGTACAATCAAATATTTACCCAATTAAACTGCAGTTAACTGTCAGCTGAATTATTTTTGTGTAAGCCTTTGCTTATATTATATACTGATTCCCAGCAGACATTTTTAAGAGCTACTCATGACTTAAAGTCACAAGCACTGACACTGAAGGAGCCCATTTGGGGCTACGTGCAACCAGGGCAGCAAATCTACGGATTCATTCTCTCCGGGGTCCTCTGCGTTCTGATGGATGTACAGCTTAAAAACCTTCCCCTAACACGGAATTTGAACTAAATCTGCTCATAATACATCATCAGGAACATACTGCAAATCTGTCTTAAATGCAGGGTCTCCAAAGGTGTAGACAAGAGTTTGGGGCTTTTAGTATAAATGTCTGTTATCTTTAAAGAAACAAGTTAAAAAAATAAAAGGTATGGGCCTGTGATCCCAGCACTCAGGAGGCTGAGGCAGAAGGATCACTAGTTTGAGGCCACCCTGTGCTATGCGAGGAGACCCTGCCTCAAAGAAAACCCAAAGTACATTTGGACAAATATATGCAGAAAATCATGCTTTCCTTACCAGTTCATCCACAAGCCTGGATGTACTTGTGTTTTTTCGCTTAGTCCTTAAAGCAGGAGGTGAGGAGACAAACTGAGAAGATAAACCTGAAACCAAGTCTTTCAGCTGGGCAGAAGCCTCCACTTTATCAGCTAGAGAAATTGGGAAACAAACATAGTATTGTACCTGTATCTCTGTATCTTTAGTATCCACCTATGCATCAACAAAAAGCTTGGGCCAAGCCATGCACATCAGAGATGCAAGACCAGAAGGCACATGGGACCCTGACCTAACGAGCCACCTGACCTCCCCACCCACACCGGGCATGACCAATGACCATTTGGGTAAACCAAACATTCAGCAACACTGAATGCTGCAAGCTACCTATTGATGGAACGTAAAAGCAAGACTTAACTGTCTCCTGTGGTCACCTGTGGACAAGGTTGCCATTTACAGGTAAGAGTCAAACCCTCTTCTCAGCCTCTTTATCCTGAGCTACTTGTTCCCATCAAGGAGACAGAAAAATTCATGCCATAGGAGGAAAAATTAAGCAAAGTAATAAAAAGAAATATGGCTGATGGGAGAGTGGCTCAAGTGGTAGGTAGAGCGCCTGCCTAGCAAGCATGAGGCCCTGAGTTCAAACCCAGTCCTGCCAAAAAGAAAGAAAGTAAACAAAGAAACAAAGAAAAGAAAGAAATATGGTTAATATGGGTCTGTTACATAGTTTCCAAGGCATTGGTCACACCGCACTAACTATGCAAGCAGGACAGTGCTCTCTGACAGGACAAATTCCAGCTTCTGGACTTAGTGCTGTGACAGCAAAAGGAAGTTACTTACAACTTCCCCATGCCTCAATTTCTATAGAACAGGATTAATGACGACACCTATCTTAAAGTTACTGTGAGGATTCAAAGGTTAGAGCAATATATAGCAAAGCGCTTTACAAATAATAGATTTTTACATCTAATGTATTATTTCAAATAGGTAATTTGCAACCTCTTAGCTGGGTATGGTGGTGCATGCTTATAATCCCAGCACCTGGGAGGCTGAGCTACATGGCAAAAACCTGAAGAATCAAAAAATTTAGAAACCCCTGAAAGACAATTCAATGTTCTTTCACCCACTGTTACAGTCAAGAATTCCATCAGATGTCACGTTCTGCTTTTCAAGCACCTGACAAGGCACCTCTGCTGCCTGGAAGGGCCACCGATGGTAACAGCCCCCTTCTGGGGCTAAGACACACAAGTGCACATGCTTTCTAGGAAACGATACACTATCATTCTGCCTACCTGGAGCAGCAGCTCCTTCGGCTTCTCAGAGTCCCTCACAACTTCCACCTGTTTCCACACTTACTTCAAAGGAACAAGAGGAACACAAAACTAGTCTCGTAGAAAGGTGCTCAGCCCATACTCCTGTCTTGTCCCGTGCCAGCAGGGTGAGGCGGGGTGAGGTGAGGCACACAACAGGAGGACTGAATTTTGGGCAAATAATTCGAGAGACTCCATCTCCAAAAAACGACCAGAGCAAAATGGACTGCAGGTGTGGTTTAAGTGGCAGAGTGCCTACTTTGCAAGTATAAGGCTCTCAGTTCAAACCCCAATCCACCCTTTCCCCACACCCCCCCAAAAAGTATCCAAAAATGGTCTGAAATAAGTAGGCGAAACACATACTAAAAAAAATTTTTTTTTGAGACAGAGTCTTGGTATGTTGCCCAGGCTGGCCTCTAACTCTGGATCGGTCCTGCCTCTCTGCTCCCCTAGTACTGGGATTATGGGATTACAGGTGGGCACCACCACATCCAGTTTATTGGTTTTTAACAAACTAATGACTGGTAAGAACATTCAGGAGAATATGAGCGGTACTGGTTCTCTAGACGGCTGGATGAACTTTTACTTCTGCAGATGGCGTGTATTACTCCATTAAAGAAATGTACAATTAGCAGGGGTACAGATAACTATGTAGAGGACAAAGACCAGAACAACTGAAAGATGTTTGCTATGTTACACCAAAATCACCCACAGTTTTGTCTGAGAAAAGTTTAAAAGTTCTGTCACTGATATTTAACTTTTATATAAAATAGTAGCTAAAGTTAGTTAAAATATCCCACATTTTATCACTTCATTTTCCACCATGCAAAACATGTGGGTAGAAACCACTTTCCTAAGAATCATGAAGTGAAATACAGCACTGCTAAAATCAAAGATCTAGTAACAAACCAAAACACCAAAAACCAGGGTACGTGTGTATCTCCTGCAATGACCAATCTGAGGCAAATATCAATTATGGGGGGGGTCACTTTCCTAGGCTCACCATCTGTCATGTGACTGCAAACATACACTGTATTTTAAGGAGTTTTGCACAGTTAATTCTGTAGATACAGCATTTCAGTTTGCAGGTTTTAAATAACTTTTCTCTTGGCCATCCTAAGCCAGTAGGCAACTACACAAGAGGTTTGGTAATGCTTTACAAAATTCATATGGTAAGCAGCAAAGCCCCCAGGTGCTTTGCTCAGACTCAAATGTCAAACCATGACTTTCCTACATTCTGCATGCTTGTCACATCGCTTCCACAAATGGCACCTGGTGAGCTACACAGTATGGACATTTTGCTGGTTATCACCTTTTTAGACATTTATTTTTTGGTGAAACTGGGTTTGGACTCAGGGCTTTGTACTACATAGCAGGTACTCTATCACTTGAGCCACACCTCCAGTCCTTTTTAAGAGATGGAGTTTCATGACCTATTTGCCTGGGCTGGCCTCAAACTATGATCCTCCTGATCTCTGTCTCCCAAGTAGCTGATGCTACAGGTGTGAGCCACTAGTGCCTGGCTTTGAATTCTTGAATCTCAAACTTGGAAACATAAAATCTTTAAGAGCAGTCTTGTTTGAGGGCTTTTTCTTTTTTTTTGGGGGGGGGGTTCTGAAGTGAGGGTGTGGAGATCTGTAAATACAAATTACTTTTTAGTACAAATAATTAATACTTCAAATCAAACAAATAGAACATTTAAATAGTCAAACTTTAGGCTGAGAAGCCTGAGGGGAAAAAACCTATGAATGAAAATAAAAGCACCTTTTACTTTCCTTGGAACCTTTGTAGCAGGAGGAGAAAGTAAAGGCTCATTTTTTGGTTCAGAAAGATCCGGCAACAGGAGGGCCTTGTTAGATCTAGTCCTTGTGCCACGGGAAGGAAGAGTAAGAGTGGCGAGCAACTTCTCTTCTTGGTCATCTGGCTCTTCGGGTGTCTTTTCATCTATGTGTTCTTCTGATACTGAGCCTAATGGATGTGTCTGGCTCGAACTTTCAGACTTCTTGGCAAGCTTTTTCCTAGAGCTTGTCACCACTGCAAGTTCTTCATTTGGCACTAAAACAGATTTTTCTAAAGCTGGTTTCCCAACATCAGTATTTTCTTTCCTGGCTGGGGTGTTCCTTGTAGATCTTCGGACACTGAGAACATCTTTCTTTTTGGGACTTCTCTCTTCCTTGACAGCCTTGGATCTAACATCTTCTGGTGGATTTATTTTCCTTGTTCTACCACGTTTCCTAGGTGTAATGGGCATATCAAATTCTGCTTGTAACTGGGAAGAATCGAGCTTAGACTCTTCCATCATATCCGACCTACTAGGTTCTTTCTCTTTGGCCCTTCTGCTCTGACAAGGCAGCTGTTGGTCAGTCGATTTCCCATCTTCCTCATCTTGCTTATATCCCGTTTTCTGAGAAACTTCTGAATCAGTGCCTCTCAACTTTCTGGCAGACCTGCTAGTACTTGCTGCTTTACTAATCTTTAGATGGTTTATAATTTCAGCACTATGCTGATTTTCTATAGACTTTTTGGCTCTTTTAGGAGTCTCTTTTACAAGAGATGAGCGCTTAACTTGTTTTCTAAGAGGAGTTACTTCAATTGCTGGTTCCAACAGCTCAGATGGCTCTAACCTTTTTGGTTTCCGACCTGGAGTGACCTGCACTTGTTCCACAGCAGCAGTGCTTCCTAGTGTGTCTTGATGAATTTCTTTTTTCCTTCTTCCTCTCCTAGGAGTGAGAGTGCTCTGAGAGCCTCTTCCATCAGAAGAGGCTCCTTCAGAAGCCTCAGAAGTTTCTTTTGTTCTCCTGGCTTTCCTTATAGTTGGTGGTCCCAGCGTCTTAGGAACAGCGACATCTGCTGGCTCCTGCTGCTTGGATGTGAGATTCAGGCTCTGGACGTGCTGCCTTCTTGTGCGAATTCGAGAGGAAACTGTGTCTTCAACCTGGCTGACATTCGTAGTCACTGGACTCATTTCCTCAACAGTCTTAACCATAGGTTTGGCTGATGTGGTGGAACACGTTACCTTTTGCTTAATCAAAGGTACGTGTTTATGAATGGACTGCTCCACTGTCTCTGAAGTAATTTCTTTACTTCTTGTGTCCTTAATTACATCTAATAAATTTTCTGCAATTGCTACCTTAATTGGTTCAGGCACATATGGCAAAGTCTCTACCTTTTGGGATTCCTGGTCACTAGTTACGACAGATGGCACGTTTGCAGCACGTCCTTCATCAACCCGTTCTATGTGGTTCACACGTTCTTCCCTGGTTGCTGCAGGAGCTGCTTTAGAGAACACATTAAGTGCTGCTGAATCACCTGTCTCAGCCTCTCCTTCTTCACCTTCCAATATCAAGGTGAAGTTGCTCTGGGCCACAAAAAGTTCCCCATCTACTTCAGCAATGTCACACTCAGCAGAGTCTTTATTATCAGCCAAGTCACAAAACTGCTGCTCAATAGTATCAAAATTATACTGAAGCTCAGAGAGAGCTCCTGAGGGACACAGCTCATTAAATGGAAGATCCTGAGCCTCTTCCTCTGGATTCTGAACTCCCAGCTTCTCCTGTCCAATCACCTGAAATGAATGAAAGGTAAGCGACTGGTCAATGAACTGTAAAACACCTAATCCTGGAGGATTTAATGGTGGCCTCATTCTAGTGTGTGCATTCTTAACATAAACTGCACTTGATACATGGCATACACTAATGGGTTTACTTTATAAAATAGCCATTTAAGCAAGCAGACCTCACTCAAAATAACTAGACAGAAAAAGATTTTGAGATTATGACTGGAAATAACTAGAAATTCTACATTTCCCTTGCTAAAAAGACAATATTAGCAAAACCGTGAAAATCATGATTCTAACAGTTCTGAGACAATTAAGGACTTAGTTCTTCTGCCCCCAGAAAAAACTTAACCAGAGAAAAATAAACCCCCAAACTGTATTAATGACAATCCCAAATCACCTAACTATCCACACTTTTCCCCAGAAGGTTGAAGAACGATTCACCTACATAAGCTCCCTTGGGCTAGACTCAATCCTCTTCCCTTTGCTGGGGCTGCATAAACCATGAAATTCCTAAGGCTCTCAAGTTCAGTACCACTCCTGCAAGGGTTTGGTGGAAGGAGGAATGGTCCTTGCATTTACCTTGTGGTAAGGGAAGGGGAGAAAAAGGAGGAGGTAGAAAGTAACAGAGAGATCTCCTGACCAAGAAGGTAGAACATTACCACCCACGTAGACAATGACATCTGCCCACTCCCCAAACACTCAGCGAGATGACAGGCTGGAAATAGCCTATCGATGAGGATTCCCACAACTCCACACCCACATTTGTCCTAGCCTCCCGATGGAAGGAACGAGGAATACTCATGAAGATGAGTACAGTAATCAACGATTTCATGAGTTAATAAGCTTCTCAAATTCTGCACGACCATACTTCTACAAACAATTAGAAGGGGTTTTTATTTTCGTCATAAATTCATTTGTCCAAACTTTCTCTTGATAAGAATTTAAGTACTAAAGAAATTATTAATGGAGTGTACAGAAATTGAACATTAACTAGGTAAATGTCACTCTCCCACACATGTGCATGCAGGGAAAAATCCTCTTTAACTGTATTCACTTCTTTTTACACACATGCCCTTAAGAACTCAAATGTCATACTTGACTCGGGTATAATCATTATTTTCTTATGGCTCAAAAGCCTTTCATTTGAAGCAGATAATAAGTAAAAATCAGGTTGTTAATTTGTGGCTTCTTTAACACAGCCTTTTGGGTTTCATGAAAATCAGCATATGGAGGTCAAATAAACATATACATTAGGTTTGAACTATCATGTCTTGAAACCTAACTAAACCAAAACTGAAAGACTATCAAAGAAGTAAAAAGTTATTTTTTTTACATGAGTTTCTTGAGTATCAGGAGGACTGTCAGAAATTGGAGGCTTTTCTTCTGGCAAGGCGATACTTTCTTTTAGGACATTAACTTCTACTTCCTGGTCTTCTCTGAAGTTCAATGCTATCTCCCCGTCAAGCCTATGTTCAGAGACAACAGGACTTTCAGAGGTAACGAGCCCCGAGCTCCCACTGTCACCAGCGATGTTAGCCACTGCTGAAAGAAAAACCAGCGTCAACATTTTGCATTTTAAACTGAAAAACATAACCGATATACAATTCAGAAAGTGAAGCAAAAGAGAATACTATCTATAAATGGTCACACTGCCACAAAGTCTGATATCCAAAAGGTGAGAAGTTTGTGAAGATCTGATCTTATACACAAATCCATTTTTCTTCAGTGTGCTATTAGTTTAAACAACATGGATATGCCTTCCACAAAGACAGAATGCAGAAGATAAATTTTATATTTAAAAGTTGCAAAATTGGGCTGGAGTTGTGGCTGGACTGGTAGTAAGTACGAAGTCCTCAGCTTAAATCCCTATAGTGCAAATTGGAAAGTAGTGAATTTAAAAGATTTCATTAGACCTTCTTTGGAAACTTAAAAGAAAGCAAGACAAAACAAAAAATTGCAAAACTGATTTCTCAACTGGAATATAATTCTCACCCTTATTGTGAAAGTTTAATGGCCTGACAACTACTTTGACAGGATTGTGAAATGGGAAGAGCTTCTTCCTTAGGGCAGAAAGCATCTAAACAGGCACAGAAGGGTACTCTCTACCACTTAAACTGGGGCTATTATTCCTAACACACAGGCACTAGTACAACAAAATAAAAAAGGTCTTCTGTTCTAGTGTCAGAAAACAGGCACTTTCCTTTTCATCAAAGACAACAATAAAGTGTTAGAAATCTGTGTGTCCTCTGACTCTGCAAATCCAAGTCTACCAAGAGAAATATTGCCATGGAATGTCTCAAGGGGCTGGTGGAGTAACTCAAGTGGGAAGAGCACCTACCAAATAAGTATGAAGCCCTGAGTTTGCATGTTTCAGGACACACACACACACACGAATACTCACTGTAGAAATAAAAAAACGAAACAAACAAAAAATCAAAACTGGTAATGAGCCCATGTTTAGAATAAGCAATGAGCTAAGCGCTCCACAGAACATCACTAGTGCCAATAAGAAGGCCGTGATCAGTTCCCATTCTTGCTACGCAAGTCTTCAAAACACTAAATAAGGCTCACTTATTTCTGATAATAAAAGTGATAATTGTTTGTTAACAGCTAACATGTGCCGACTTTTATTACGTGTCAAGCATTACTTGCAACTAACTTAACCCTAACAAGTATGACAGGCGTTGGAATTAAAGACCCTTCAGTGCCGAAAACAGACACACGAGGGACAGAGAAAATCTTGACAAGGCAATTTCTTTAGATCAAAAGGGTGCAAGCATGTGCTCACTCCAGCTGAGCAGACATTCGAGCTCAAAATGGCCAACCATGGCTCCTCCTTATATCCCTGACACAGTTGTACCTGCCCCTCACCTGGGATTTGTCCAGGGCAAAGGCTCACAGTCTCCCCTGATTGGCTAAAGGTTTGGGGATGGCTTAGGGCATACAGTTTGCTGGACAAAGGAGTCATACAGGAATCTGGAAGAAGCAGCAAGGACCCTTTAAACATGCAAGTCACCTAAGATGGCGACCTGAGGAATTTTTAAGTAATCTAAGAGGTAACAAATACTTTGATAGAAAAGATCAGTTTTCTTACAATTGGATCCTATCAACATTCCCCTTTAAAACTGTCCATAAGTAACAGGCATACAAAGGAAGAGCCCACAGTAGCTTCTTTTTCCCCCCTGGGGTTTCAGCTCAGGGCCTCAGGGCTGGAAGCACAGCTCAAGTCTCAAACTGCTTACCTAGCAAACCCTAGTGTTATACCCCACCCAAGTGGGTTGAAGTCAGGGCCTTGATAGGCAGGTGCTCTACCACTTGAGCCCCCCGCCTCTCGTGGCCTAAGAGCTAGGTGAAGAACTGGGTTTGCAACCTGGGCCAGTATGGTTCAAGCCCTTGCACTCATTAGCCATCTTGCAAATCTCCTCTTTCAACACATGGGAAAATATACTCAGAAAAGTTCCAAGAAAAAAGAAACTTTCAATTGTTAGTGTCAGATCACTGTAATGAGTAACCTTGGTTTCTATTTTACATGTCAGATAGTAGCATGAATTTATCAAGCAGCAAAACCAGGCAAGCTCAAAGCTTGTTCCAGGCCCTACTCATGTGACTGCAGAAAGGAAAGGTCTAAGAGTTAAAGGAATGGACCCTAGAGTCAGATAACAGCTACATCACAGCAGTGAGAATTAAATGAGAGCAAACATAGGAAATGCTTCTGGGAATTGATATGCCAAAACCCATGCCAGAACCCACTGAGAATATTCCCCTCGACTCTGGCAGCCAGTAAATGAAAACAGGTATTTTAAAAGCAAAAATCAACTGACTGGATACAAAATTTAAATGAGTTCCACATACTGACACTGCTAAGGACTGATTATCTACTTTGCTCTACTTTCATGTTCCCAAGGAAAGCAAGCATGCCCACACAAACCATTCCAAGAAAATGGAATGCCTTGTAAGCAACCCATTGCTTTAAGAGTGGATTTATCTTCTTAGAATGCTTTTTAAAAGAAAGTCTGGTAATAGACTCCTTTGTCCTAAAAGCACTAAAATGAAGTCAGCTAAAGTCAAAGTGTACATACATTCATTATGGTCTGCTCTCATTGTAGAGGTGCAGGTTTCAACAGAGAGTAATCCTTCATCCAAATCGGGTGCCTTGGACTCTGAAGCAAGAACTTTCCTTTAGAAACAGAAATGTACACTTCAGTGGCTGACCTGTCATTTTGTTGATGAAAACCACAGCTCAGTGCAATCTCCACCTGAGCTCATTGAATACTTAAACTTGACAAGTGAGTTAGAAACAATTATGCTGCTCCTTTTTCCTATTTTTTACTATTTTACTTTTCTGTAACAATGGGATGGCCTTTCAGTACAGATAAATTATTTTTAAGTGCTTATCAGCATAAATTATACTTTAGACGATTTTCAAAAATCAGTGTCCATATTCTTCAAATAAACCTGGTTAAGTATGAATATTTCCTATAACTCAGTAGGATCAGGTTTTTTTTTTTCATGTTACCTGGAAGGCTGGTAAGACAGAAATAAGTTACAGAATATGCTAACAGGAATCCTTCACTATTCTGAGCTGGCCTTTACCTAAAATCCAACTAAAGAGCATTAACTTTTAAAAACTAGACAAACACTAACAAAGTTTAAGAGAAAGGTGTTTGAAATACATATATATATATATATATATATATAGCTATAAGACTCATTATAATCCCAACGTTTACAGCAAAAATAACTGCAAAAGGACCAACAATAAATTTCCACAAAATACCAGATAAGTTTATATTTAAAAAGCAATGAGCTTGCCAGGGTACCAAATATTCACCTAGATTCTCGCTTAATGTTCGCCAATATTCATTATTATTAAAATTTAAAAAACCTGGACAAGCCTCTTACTGGTGCCTGCCACTTTTTAAGTGAAAGCATGACCTATCCATGTAGACCTTCTCTGAGAAGTGAAGAACGTGAAGGAGTTTGATGGTGTAGTGGTGACCACAGTGATCAACATTGTGGGTGGTTTGCAGAGTCACTCCCACTCTTGTTTATAAAGCGATGAACCATTTACAGGGTATTAAATTACCACATTTTATGCAGGTAAAGTCCACTAAACTATTCTAACTCCCTCTTGATAACTGAAGCTTTTTTGTACCTGTTTTGTTTTGCTTTTTGAGACAGGGTCTTATTATTCGCTCAAAATTCAGATCTTCTTGCTTTCCTTGTGCTTGGGTTACAGGAGGGCACCACCACACCTGGCTACACCGTATTTTGAACAGCTAGCACTGCCCTACATCTTCTACTACTCTACCTTTATGACACAAATTGTCAACAAAATTGACATAGGGTTTCAACACGTCACCAAAAACCACTACTAAGGGAAGCAAGCAAGAATGCCATAGCTGTGAGTGAAGCCTCAGGTCTTCAACAGTCACCAGAGAACATTAAAAGTTCGGTCTCAATTTCTGTCTCTGAATACTCCACCATAAGACTTCATGGTAACTACTGTGTAATATACAACTGTTCAAAGAAAGTTCTTTCACAACAGACATACCAAAATGAAGATGTCAAAGATCGAAGCAAGCTCTAACATGCACAGGATATTTTACCATGGGTTTGATTTCAGTGAACCTCTTCTACAGGGATTTGAATTTGTCTCCACAACTTACCCTTCATGGACTGATGACACACAAAGCGAAGCTTCCACTCCTTGAACAGGGCTTAAGTGAGTTAATTCTGAAAATGCCTCCTCTGCAACTTCTACAGGGCCTATAAATCATACAGACACCATGTTATTTATGCTGAAAGTTTTACTCGTAGTCTTGGACTGCTACTTTTCAAGAAGCTGTTGGAGCTGCTTTTTGTTCATTTCAGTTTAGTTGCTTAGCGTTAAACTGTGAGCAGCTCATCCTAATTCTCTGGGTTGAGCTCAAAACTCCTCAGCTTCACACTTGTTACTTCCATCTTAACAGGCACTACCATGACTGTCCCACTCACTAGCTTAGATGCTGCTAATCCTAAACGCCCAAGAGGTAGAGATGACAGAACTGAAGCCAAGGTCACACTGCTCCCCTCAGACGGCACAGTGTGACTGGTAAGCTAAGCAAACTGACCCTGTTCCACTCTAGAATTTGTGCTACATGATTCCCACATAAAAACCATGAAGACTTCCACTGGACACTGTCTAATACTGCAGGAATAATCAGTGAAGAACCTGATATGAACATTCTATCTAATATTTATCATTTAAACATTTTAGGGGAACACAGCACATCACAAAAGCACAGCAGGCTGGGAGTGTGGTTCTTTCCCAGCCTGGCAGGGAAAGGAGGGGAGAAGGCAGTGCAAATTTCTCTCCAGTGAGAGAGAGAAGGTAAGCGAAAGGATAGGAGAGGAGGCAGAAGGAATCCCAATCCAAACATCAAAAGAAGCTGTACTTAGTTCAGCCCTGGAAGAAAAATTGCTTTTACAGATTTAAATAAACTTGCTAAAACTGTGTATGGAGTAAAATATAAAAACGGGCTTAGGTCCCTGATCTACCAATCCTAAGCCAAGTCTCCCTTCCTGGTGCTTCCATAGTCCCTCATAGACTGCCGAGAAAAGTGTTGATCAAACTGAGTAGTACATGCTTGCTAATACAGTCCACTGGGCTCTACGTGATGTGTGTCCATTGTACTCAGTATGGTATTCAACACCTAGAAAACACACAGGGTGCTCACTGGAGCATATACTTCAGGGACTCAAAAATTTTTTTGAACAAACAACAACAAAAAAAACCAAGCTTGCTTAACACGTGGCAAGTCCTGGTGTCAATCCTCAGTACTGCAGAAAACCAAAAGCTATGGCTAAAAAAACTTAACTGACAAATACATGTTAAGACAAATTCATGGGCCGCTGGGTATTCATTTTGCTTCCAGTGATTATTCTGGAGGAGTTTCTGAAGCTGCTAGGTAAGTGCAATCTAGCCTACAAAGTCAGTGTCAGTATTCCCACCACTCCTGGAAGGCCTCCTAAGGCAGACACTCCCCACTTCAGGGTTATTGTTCTTTTCCAAACACTATTGCCGGATTAGAGGAGCAGAGGTCCTCCTCCCTTCCAATCTCATTTCTACTTACGAAGCAATCAAGATAAGCCATCCTCATAAACCCAAAGAACAAGATCTGTGCTTTCTCTAGGACCTAGCACACTATAAGCATGCAATCACTATTTGCCCCTGATGCTTTTCTTATGGTGGAAAACATTCTGTTGCAAACTTTATTGTGGGATACCAAATAGCCATCTTGAGTATGTGGAGGTCTTACCCATTTGTTTCTCCACGTATCGCATGGTTTCAGACTCCAACACGCCTTTATCAGCATCCTTCCCAGTGTGTTCAGTTGCACTAGCGATCAGCTCAGTAGAGGAGCCTACTGGCTTGGAGGTCACAAAGATGCTATCTTCAAAGTCCTCTGGTGATGGGGCATCCTGATACTCTAAGGTGGTCTGGTTGGACGTGGCTGAGGCACTGCTGTTGACTATGCTCACATCTGGCCTGTCCACATGCTCAGAAGGTGCATCCTGCAACCCTGCATCCACTCCCTCATGGTCTGCCTCAGGGATATTCAGGGGAAAGGGTGTGCGTTTGTCTTTACTCTTCAGCCATCTGGCTTCTGTGGCAAGTTCACATTTATGGAAAGGTGCTTTTGTGCTACTGTCATCTGCAGCCTGTGAGGATTATGAAAAGAAAAGTTGTCAGTGTGCTCTGTGCTGTGCACGGCGATCATAGCCACCGTGATTACACTTCTCACTTCTCTAAGTTCTCTTCTTAATTAAAATTCATCTATTCCAAATCCATTCCCTTTAGGTGCATAATCAAGCAGCAATGGTTGCTGATGTGTCTCCAATTGTAAAGCATTCATTTCAGAAGGTTAAAATTAACAGACCAGGTGACTGATAGTTACCAGGCAAGTAGGCTTCAATGAACCTACAGTGGTGATCCTAAGATATACTCTCCTGGATATAAGAACAATAAGGAACTTAAGAAAAGCAACATCATCACACTGTGTAAACAACCAGACTGCATGGACTAAGGCTGAGGAGTTTGTGTTCTGTCCTATTTCTGCCACCACCCACCTAGGTCACTATGCGGCATGCTATTAAGCCCTGTTTTCTTTACTTGTACAACAATGCAACAACTGAGCCAATGCCCTAAGGTTTCTTTCAGAACTGTTTTCTAATTTCAAGACTATCTGCAAGACAATAAAAAAAAATTCTAAAGTGATCTTATTTCAAAAAAAGTTAAATGAAAAGTAAACACCACGCAGGATCTGAAGATTCCTTCTTGTTGCTCCATATTATCACTTACTCCAAGAGCCCATTTAGTGTTCATGCCTTCTTCCATGAAGGAAATTCTAGTTTCTTTAAGTCGTAAAGGTGGAGTAAGGGACCTTCCAGGTGACAGAGATGGAGATCCTAAAGGTGTTGTTCGAAGACCAGATCTCAGGATGGAGGGAGGAGTAAACTCAGCAAATCCAGAAGAAGTAACTGACATAGCCAAAGTTTTAGCTTTCTGTGAAAGAGCAAACAGAATTTCACAGTTAGAGTTTGTACAGGCATTTACATTAAGGACAGACTGGCTAATTTGAGCCACTAAGTGTGCATATGTTCAACTCTAACAAACATGAATAGAAACTTTATTTCTGATTGGTCAGAAGAAAATTCAAAATTCTACAAAAGACTGCTGACTGTAAGGCTATAAAACATAAAACTATTTGTAACCTTTTAAAAGGTCCTGGTTTTTATAAATACTTCAATGTACCTCCAACCCAGCATAATAATAATAATAATAAAAAAGGCCCTGTTTAGGGATGTGGGGCAGCTCAGTGGAAAAGAACTTGCCTACCATGTGCAAACCCCTCAAGTTCAATCCCCAGCACTGGCAAAACAATAATAAAAGGCCCTGGCTAGTTCCAATATAAATTCAACTAAAAATACAATTCCAATTAGTAAGATAAATTATGGAAGCAACACCTGTATGTCTTAGAAAAAACTCCCACAGGAATTCAGTAATTACATTACGTATTAGACTCTTTAAAGATTCAATATAATGAATCAAAACAACTTAGAATCAGCAATTATTTAGTATGAATACTTCTTTCACTTGTCCACTAAAACACTGGAAAACAGATTACTGTGTCTCAATAGATGAATGAATTTTGTTGGACACATCACAAAACTGCAATGATTTCTTACTAGACTACCTTGGCAAGAGGTACAAAATTATTTCCCGTTTTAGTTTCATTTGAACCTAGCTGTAGAGAATACAAAATGTGATTCCACCCTCCCCCGTACAGATGAAACAGCGGCTAGAAATTCTGTACTGGACACTGAAGTCAAGAACCAAATAATCTTAACCTTTTCATAATTATCGTAAGAATCCCAGTTAGTGAGGGGTCTTCTTTGATTTGAGATAAGAACTCTCTAGTTTCCTTTTTTGGGGGGCACAGTACTGGAGTTTGAACTCAGGGCCTCAAGCTTGTTAGGCAGGTGCTCTACCACTTGAGTCATGCCTCCAGCACCGAATTCTCTCATTTCACAAAACGTTTCTTGAATCTGCAGAATGGAGAATCAAGGAACCAACGAATAACAAAACAGCAGAGGCAGCAAAAAAGCTTCTGCAATTTAACCCTGGACATGTACATAAAAACACTCTGAAGATGGAAAGGTGCGAAGCCACTGCTGCCAATCCTGTGCAGCTGTGTTCAGTTAGTGGGCTGATACCTTATCAGGGAGAGTGGATGGGAAGGCGATTTAAAGACTGATCAACTGGTAGTTTCATCAAAGGAGTTAGGAAAGTAAAATAAGTAACAAACCTAAAAACTATTTGATGGAAGGAAGAAAAAGTAGCATAATGTTATGAGCAACGAAGATTATATGAAACTAAAACCGAGTGCAATAGCACAGACCGGTACTCCTAATACTGAGATGGGAGGATTACAAGACTGCAGCCAACCTGAGCTACACAGAGGATTCTAAAAATCTTTTGAGCATTTTGCAAAGAACAATTTATAATAACCATATACAACTTTGCATCACATTCAAGACAATGTGTGTTGTTAAGGTTAAGCGGGAAAGGTTAAATGAATTAACACTGTTTAAGAAGAATGTAAACATTCAGTACTCTGTAACAGCAGCTATGAAAAATTAAAATGAAAACAAACTATTAAGGCTGTTGAGTACCCAGAGGTGTCAACTATAAATAGCTTATTTTCTCTGTGCTACCTGAAAAACAAGAGCTTTCCAACTCTACTAGGAAGGCTAGGCATATGATACCAACCTTAACCACAAGAGGAGTTTCCAGTAGAAGCAATTCTGAAGCCCTGGAGGGACTCTGATGCGACCTTCTACACTTTGAGCTTAACGGCACTGAACTGGTCAGCAGATGCAGAGGTGAGCTTGTGGGGCTTGGCTGGTCATGCTCCAAACACTGAAGAGGCTGGGGGACAGGATGGACAACCAAGTCCAGCAATCTGTAACCAGAAAATAACCAGTGAAGAGAGAATTCCCAGTAACCAGTACTGAGTTATCCCAGGGAAACAATCAACCAATGATCCCAGTGTTCAGATTTGCATATTCACTAGTAAATATCACAACTGCAGTCAATTGTATTGTCATCCAAATGTTAGCATTACTTTTAAAAAGTAAAAAAGAAAAAAGACTTAGGAATTCTAAACGACAATTTAAAAGTCTAGTCATAGTGGCTCACTCCTGTAATCTTCAATGCTCAAGAGGCAGATCGGAAGGATGGTGGTATTAGACCAGACAGCAAAAACATCCCAAGACCCCATCTTAACCAGTAAAAGCTGGGTGTGGTTGTGCACACTTGTCATCCAGCTACCAGCTACACAGACAACAGAAATAGGGAGATTTGAGGTATCCAGGTAGCTGAGGCATAAATTCAAGACCCTATTTGAAAAAACCTAGAGCAAAAAGGGTTGGAGGTGTGACTCAGGTGGTAAGCACAGCCTAGCCAGCAGACTGAGCTCAAACCACTGCTAAATAAATAAATAGAATTCTCACTCAATAATTTAGCAAGAGTAAAATTTTCAGGTCACAAATTCTAGTAGATCATTTGCACAGGTTACTGTTTTCTCAAATTCCTAAAAAACAGCACTTTCTTAACACAGGGTCTTCACACTTGTTACTATGTACAAGACCAGCTTTGAAATTTCCACCAAGATATTCACTCTGCACATTTCTTTCTCTATTTTCTGTTCCGCCTCCTCCTTGCTCTATTAGTTAAATCGTGAACTTTGAACAGTTTGCTCATTTTCATGTAATCTATTCAATCTGCATTATGTCACCGTTTATGGAGCAGGGTCCATAAACAAGAGTAATATACTTAACATATTATTTATTATATATTGGGCATGGTGGTGTGTGCTTGTAATCCCAGCTATCAGGGGAGGCAGGGGCAAAGTTTGCTCGAAGCTGGACCTGAAAAAATGAACTAAAAGCAAAAAGACTGGAGGCTCAAGTGGCACAAGCTCAAGGCCCTGAGTCCATGCCAGCATCATGGGAAGGGCATTTTCTGAAGGAAATGTGAAGTTCTGTACTAGGTCTCAGGATGTCCTCAACAACTTTTGCGCATGATCCACGTTAGAAGTACATTCTGTATTACACATAAACATAACACAAGGTGCATAAAATAGCCCTCACCCCTTACCACATGCAGGGTCCACTGAGCTATCTACGCAACTTCAATGAAAGGCATATGGCCACAATTCGTATTTACTTACTACCCAGTAGTGTAAACCAGAAGAAAAGTACAGAATTAGGGAAAAGAATTATGCATCAGCACTGGGGTTTGAACTTAGGGCCTCACGCTTGTTAGGCAGGAGCTCGACCACTTGAGCCACTCCACCAGCCGCTTTGCGTTGGGTGTTTTGCCCAGGCTGGCTTTGAATGGCGATCCTCCTGATTTCTGCCTGAGTAGATGGGAGTACAAGAGTGAGCTGCCTGGTACCTGCTAAGAGTGATTTTTATACACAGCAGATATTCACATTAATCGGTTCTCAAAATGCTTCTTTAGACCCAGGGACTTTTAGTTAAGGGTTTTCAAAAGTATCTTATTGCCTCCTGCTGAACCCCAGTCTATTAAAACTAAAAGGGAACCAAGCAAAAGGGACTTCTGGTGAAAAAAATTAGATTGATTTGGTAGAAATAGTAAATTTAGCTAAGAGATGGAAAACCCTTTCAAGTTTTGACAGTATGTCTCCTTTACCATGGTCTACCGATGTCTGTGGCCTTACTGTTTGTCCCTTATAAACACATCTCAAGTTACCAAAAAACTCAAGGTAGTTCAATTTCTGTAAAATAATGTAACTTTGTCCTCGTTAAAACAGTCAAGTCCGCAACCATCATGGGGATTACTGAGGACGAGGACAGCCATTCTCAGCACCAATGACCGTGAATACTTTGCAGCTACCCACACTCTTAGATACGTGCTTACAGTCACAATTCCATCTCGGATGTGGACTCAGGTTTCACTATTTTTATTTTTCTAATACCACAGGTCAATGTGGGACTCAGCGTAAGACCTTTTAGTAGAAGCTGTTACAAAAGAGAGAGCTTAAATGAGCCCATCAAGATTAACTGGTAATCACAAAAACAACCTTCTTTCAGGTCAAATAACAAAGACCTAATATAAAGAAAATAAAAATCATAAACCTATGGCTTGCCTCACGGTTTTAAAAAGTCTGTTTCTTTGCACTAAGTTGTTTGAGATTTTCGAAGCAGAAATTTTTACTATACTACTAGCTGAGAGGGAATTTCCTAAAATTAGTGTACCTGTGCCCAAATACAGATTCAAGTTTTTAATAAATCAAAATGGGAGCTATAAAATGGTAAAGACAATTAAAAATTACAGTTGTAATTATTGGTCAATATCGTGTTTGTAAGAATTATTTAGGGCTGGCGGTGTAGTTCAAGAGGTAGAGAGACAGCATGATAAAGACTGAATAAAGTCTCACCTAGAAATTTTCTGTGAGGTTTTTGAAATGGGCGTTCCAACGAATGCCTCAGGCAGCTCTGGATGTGGGAAAGAATACACTACAGGAGATGGTTGCTCTATTTTAGGACTACAAAGAAAACAAAATTTTAATTTGATTATTCATCATATGGAGTGCTGAAAAGTGCATGGTGAGCTTAGATGAAGAGCAAAGCACCTTCCTCCTTTACTTCTCACATTTCTGCATTATTCACAAACAACGAGCACAGGCCACTTCTAAATTAAGCATAAGCATTCGTGAAGTCCAGGGAAGACACAGCAGCAAGACTTTAGAAGGTCAAAGAAAAACGCACCTGTTGTAGCGCGGGGCGCCGTTGCTAGGCTCACTGCTTGCCCACACCTCTCCAATTCTAGATAACACATTACTGATGAAAGCAGATCTTGTTACCACTGCCCCTGCTACAGCTTTCTTTGGAAATGCTGATAATGGTTTGGGTCTAGAAACTGTAAAATGGAGAAAGCAGGATTTAATTGCATCACTAACAAACAGGATTTTTAATGAAAGAATAAGAAACCTTGACTGGACAACACAGAACACAATGGTGAGTTCTTTTCTTCTGTGCTACACTGATAAATAAATTGTAAAAACTCGTAAGAAAGCACTATTATTCCTGGAAACAGCAGCCAATAAGAAAAAAAAAAGACTGTTCAATTTGAGCATGTATCAGTACAAGTGGTATTTAAGATGATGAGTTTCAGAAAGGTAATCAGTCAGTGCTTTGCTAGCACAAGAATTTACAACATTCTTCAGTAAAAATTTACCTTCTCGAAAAACTGATGATGTCGACAGGTGATAAGGCTTGGCTCGCTCCATGGCTAACTTTCGTTGAACTCTAGGAAGGATTTTCCCATATTGGTCTAATATAGCATTTCGAGCCACTGATCTCTCCCGCAGACGAGGATCTCGGTCATTCTATTGAACACATCATAATTAATGAAAACATTATCTTCATTCAAAATGTGTGCATCCAAGAATATCTTCTCACATTTTTCCAAACCAAAGACTGGGTGCACACACCTACCTGCTTACCTACCAACACATTCCAAATTTCTACTACCAAATCTTGACCTTTCACAACTAATAAACACGTTTATCATTTACTAAGAATTTAATGTGTCAGGCAATATGCTACTTCACACATACCTCTCTGCAACCTCACAACCTCACAAAAAGATACTGCCATCTTACAGAAGTGTCCCAAGCACTCAGGGCACATTAAGAATCAGTCTAAACCTTGAAGATCAATGCTCTTTGCAATGTAGCGCTCCTGTTGTTGTCTATATTTTCCTCTCCTTTTCCCTGAGGGAGGTGGTTAGTCTGGCAAGATGGTGAGCACACATCAGAAAATACATGGTATATATGAAAGAACTAAGTAATAGTACCCCGTCCCCAACAGTGCCAGAAATGAGGATGCTCCAAATTCAAGGCAAAATAAGGAAGCTGACACATAAAAAACAAAACAAAAGTGTTCAATTTTCCTGTCTTGGCTTGCAGAACGAAAATGACTTTATCATACCATAAGATTAATCTTTAGAGTCTGGTTCAGCTTCAAGGCAGGGATATAATTGGCACGCTGCAAATGGTGAACGAGGAGGAATTCATGATTCTCAACGCTGGCACTGGACTGCAGAAATTTCACTAAACACTCCTAGAAGAACAAAACACATCTGTTAACTATCAACTTGCCTGAAGGTCCAGCAAGTTTACATTGACAAGTGGTTTACCTGCTCAGTGGCTGTAAATGGTAACTTCAGTAAGTCCTCCATCAAGCCCATCTCCTGACAGACTTCGTAGGCATGCTTTAGTAAATCTTCTATATTCACTCGAGTGGAATGTTGTCGCAATAAGCTCCAGGCCTCAACCATGCACCTGAAATCAGTATTTATCAAAGTTCAGTTTTAGAAATTCTATTTATTCTATTTAAGGGCTGGTAGAGTGACTTAAGTGCAAAAGTGCCTGCCTAGCAAGTGTGAGGCCCTAAACTCAAATGCCTCTACTGATCCCCACCACCCCCCCAAAAAAATATTTAAAATGTACAAAGACATCTATCTATAGAATCTCAAAGATATGTAAATGCAATCTAAAAATACTTTTAAGACTTTTCAAATACTAATCGCTGTACTACGAATCTTGCTCCTTATGCTAGCAAGACAAGCAGGCATCTTAACTTTATGTGGTTTCATGTTATTATTACGTCCCAAGATTGAAAGCTAAGGTGGGCTGGACAGAATTGAAGATTGGTAGAGTGACAGAGGGCCAGGCACCGAATGCATGATACTGAGCATAAGGAGAGGGGAAACGAGAACAAGTGAAGACTGACAGGTGGGAAAAAGCGTACTGCCTTCATGGGGAGGTGAAAGACATAGCTTAGCAGTGTATGAGTCGGTCTGACTGCAGAACCTGAGTCAAATCTGACAGTCACAGACACCAGTGAAGGTGCTGAAATGTCCTTCTCTCCTTCTAAGATAATTTAAACAAAGCAGTGTTTGTTACATACAAGCTTCTGAGAATCAGAAGGGGCCTCTGTGACCTTTAGAGAAAAAATGTCAGTGTTCAATTCAGACCCCATGGACAGACTTGTTTTAGAGAGTCACTTGGGAGTATCTATGGAAATTAAAATTACCTACAGGCTATGAAACAATAATCCCATTTCAAGGAAGACAGTGTGCATAAACACCAGTACCACCCCGTGAAGATTTATGTGTAAGACTAGACAGGGAATGATGGACTGTGTGTGAGCTCTGTATGAGGCAGGTTGTGTACTAACTTTGAAAACCATGATTATTAAGTTTACAAAAAGCAAGTTTAAAATAGCGTAAATAATGGTTACAAAAGCCCAGTGTGGTGGCACACACTAATCATCCTATCTACTGAGGCTGAGATGGAAGGACTGGAACTTGAAGGCAAGGGTGGAGAATGCAGTGAGACCCAGCTCCAAAAATAAAAGTGAGAATGAAACACCACCCCCCAAAAACCAACATGGCTGGGGATATAGCTCAGTGGTAGTGTGCTTGCTTAGCATGTGTGAAGCCCTAGGTTCAATCCCCAGCACTGGGAAAATTACAGATTAATTTAGGTGTATAAGAAAGGTTCTGAAAGGTATACGGTGAGACTGACCACCTTAATCTGGCAGTCAGTCACAGGTTTGAAGGGGCTGACAACTTCACAGCACAAGAGGGCAGCATACACACATGTTCACTTTCTAGCAGGTAGACAAAATCAGTTATGGCAATGAGTAATTTAGGAAAATCTCGGAGACACCAGGGGAGGTGTCCGGGAGGGTCTGGACCATCTGTTCATGGAGCCCACCCTAAGGGAGTAAAGCATTCAGGGGTTTCTCTAAAAGTCTTCATTCCTATCAGGTTAACGTGTCAGTGAAGGTTTTTTTTTTTGGGGGGGAGGGAGGGGATGGCACAGGGAGGGTGGGAGAATATAGTGCTGTGTTTGGTAAACAGCTGCCCAGTAGATCTCAAGAGGGATTAACAATGGCTGTGCCCCAAGAAGAAATTTAGAAATCTGGAAATCTACAGTGTTATCTTTTCATAATTCATAAATGTTGAATCAGGTGAATATCTTATCATTATTAACAAACAAAACCAAGCTGGGACCCAGTGGCTAATGCCTATAACCCTATCTACTTGGGAGGCTGGGATCAGGAGGATCGCAGTTTGAGGCCAGCCTGGACAAATAGTTCAAGAGACCCATCTCCAAAATAATCAGAGGGAAAAAAGAGCTGGAGGCATGACTCAAGCGGTAGTACTGTCAAAACAAACACTATCCTCTTAACATCTTTGCCACAATAGTGGCCACTCTAATAACAGTTTCAAGGGTTCAGATTAACTAATAAACCTCAGGACTAATAAACTAATAGTTAGGAAACAGCAACCCCTCTGTGTCTAGCAGAGTTGAGTTTTGGGACACGAGTTAGTGTTCTCATACTTCAGCAGCTACTTTAACTACCATTATGAAATCATGGCACTTGGGTGTTAGACCACCATGTGGCCTGGCCTCTCTTGCTTTCAGTTCAGTTTACCAGTTTAGCCCCAGGGTTCAAGGAGAGTGATTGTCACTAGAGATACAGGTATATGGGGAAGTTATGAACTGACCACAAGACAGCATGAACGTCAGTTTACCTAGGATGCTAAGCACAAGCTCTGTCTGCCACTGAGCTAACATCCTGTCCCTTAGTCATTTTTTAAAACACCCAATGTGGCACAAGCAATCTCAACAGGTGGCTTTTTTTTTGGTCTTTTGAGACAGAGTTTAGCTATAGAGCCTAGGCTGGCCTTGAACTCATGATCCTCCTGCCTCAGTCTGTTAAGTGCTGGGATTACAGGCAGGAATGCACCACCACACTCAACTACACATGGCATTTTGAATTATTATTTGGTTTTATTTCTGCACTTAATGAACAGGACATTTTCCCAGGCTAGTTTTCTGGTGACTGGGTAACTGAGGCTTTACTCAAGAGAAACACTACAAGAAATTGAACTATTTAGATCTGACTACTATATAACCTACAAAAAATGAAGTGAGTGTAGCAAACTAGACAAACATGCTATGGATGAATCAAAGAGGATGGAATAAAAAAAAAAAAGAGATAGGGAGGGACCAGCAGCCCTTCATGGATGCTTCTTTCAAGGACCCACTATGTGCTCTCTGGGTGGAAGCACTAGAGATCAACTCTTCAGAGCCCTAAAGAGAAGCTGCAGGAAATATGTACGTGCTGGTGGTCTATGCAGGATCTTCCATCAGCTCTTACCCACTAATTCAACCATTAACATTTTGTTGTTATTATAAAACCTATTGAAACTATAATGTGAATTTCGTAAAACAATTGATTGCTCTTGATTCCAGATTTATGAAGACAACTAAACACTTTTGCTAAGCCAGACCACCATAGCAATTGCATCCCTATTCATTGCTTGTAAGAACACAAACTTTTCATCTGCATGCAATTACCTAACTAAAAGAACAAAGAAAATTTAATCTTTAGAGTGCTGACAGTGAAGTGATCATTGGTTCATATAATATGGGGTAAGTACAATTTCAAAAGTACAAAAATGATCAAGGAATATATGCTAGTACATACAACCTAGAAGGAAATTTCAGGTCAAGCTATTTTCTTAACTAACTTAGTCATAAGAAAATATAATACTCGCACCACCACATACCCAAGCATGGTTTTTTTCTTTCTTTTGGTGGGACTGGGGTTTGAGTGAAAGGATTCTCACTTGTGAAACAGCACCCTACGACTTGAATCACATTTCCCCTTTTTTTCTGGTTATTTTGGAGATGGGGTTTTGGAAACTATTTGCCAGGCTGGCCCTGAACAACGGCCCTCCTGATCTCAGCCTCCCACATAGCTAGGACTACAGGCACTCAGCCAATTAACTTGTCAATTACTATAGTGATATGTAAGGCTATAACATAAACTGTAATATGAAGGTTAGAACACTAAGATATTGCAAAAGGAAGAAACACAAACATATCACTTGCTCAAATGTGGTTTAAGTATTAAGTCACAAAAAGCTGATACTTAAATAATTTAAGCAAATGCCTACATTTTCTTTTTATGAAGAGTAAATGGCAAACATAGTAACAATGGAGGTATATGCCTGTTAATCCCAGCACTATGGAGGCTGAGACACAATGATCTTCAGTTTAAGACCCTTCAAAACCAAAACCAAAAAAATCCCAGGAAAGAACATAAATTCATCAGCTCTATATGACTTCCTTCTGTCTGTCCTGGCTCTTTTTTTTCAGCACATGCAGCCCTCAAATGTCCATGCAGGAGACTATCAATGCTGTTCCACTAGCAACAGACACAACTGTTGATCTCGGCTCAGCACCCTTTGACTCAAGGTGCTTCAAGTGTCTTACTCCAGATAAAAGGCACTACAGCATAAATAACATTGCATAATGCAACCAAAGTAAAACATCCTTTTTTACCATTTGTTTCATAAATCCCATTTTATTAGAAGAGTTGTTTTTCTTGGGGAAGGGGGAGAGAACTGGGTTTGAACACAGGGCCTTGCACTTGCCATACCCCATCCCTTTTTGCTTTAGTGTATTTCCTAGGTAGAGTCTTATGTTTTTTGTCCAGGGCCTGCATCAAAACCTGACCCTCTCTTCTCTACCACTCTCTCATAGCTGGGATACAGCTAACTTTTTGCTTGGCTGGCATGGAACCACAATCCTCTCATCTCTAACGCCTATGTAGCTGTGATTACAGGCATGAGCTGCCATGCCCAGACCTTGAAGGATTGTACTTACCTATTAAAAAGCAAAACGGTGAGATGAAGGATAACCTCGTTACTACTGGACACTGTTGGCTTCATTGTCTGGATGTATCGCAGGGCCTGTCTGTGCTCTCCCTGACTCATGCAAGCCTGAATGATCTTTGAATGTTGCCATGACACAGGTTTTGCAGTGACTGGGTGAAACAGAAGGTCTAAACCAGTCTGTAAAAATGGTAAGTGCTAAATATTAATAGAGTCCTATGCAGTTAGTCAGAGGCATCAGCCTTTAAGATGGCAAGCAGTAACAAAAATTATACAGATCAAGCTAAAAATTAAGTTTACATACAAGCTAGGATGAGCTATTTAATCTATGGCATATCTTATTCTAAAAAGTTTTATGAAGTCTCATACCTTTGAGGATTCATTAAATCTTCCTACCACAATTTCTTATGAGTGTCAAATCTTGCCTTTTATGGTTCACCCAACACCCCAAAGACATCTCTAACCTAACAGTCACAGATGTATACTTTCTTAACTGCTCACTGCTTGTTTCCTCCTTTAGACAGTAAGTAGCCTGAGGTTCTGAGCTGCCATACCCTTGTATCCTTCTGCCTGAGATACTTCTCAATGAAGACACTGATTAAACCCAGTTCTTCTTACATTACCTCTAGATATAGGCTATCATCATTAACATCAAATTCAATCTGTTTGCTTTCTAAAATGCTAGTAATTTACCAAAGCTTACACACTAAGTGAACTACAGTCTTACCTCATAGTCATTGTGGTCGATCAGCCAAAATCCTTGAATAAGTTTAACCTGGCCCCAAGAAATAGCAAAGGCAGTTGGGAAAGATTCAATAGGAGTATCTGTTTTGTTTGGAAAGGAATACATAATATCAAGTAGCAAATAAATGGTCTTTTAAAAAAAGGATTAAGGACAATAAATGAAAAAGGAAAACTTGTGCGTACATATTTATAATAGGTGGCAACAGAATGTACCACTAAAAAAGGCTTCAAAACTGTATTACCAAGGCCATCACAGACGTGCAGCCACGGGAGCAATTTCACCAGAGGTGGGTGCAGTCAGTCCCATGACAATCTCACTTATTCTCAGTATTTTACTGCCACCACCACAGGAGACTAAAGCATAAAGCACTCTGCACAAAGAGACAAATTAAGACACCTGCTTAGCAGGTGCAAAAACAAAGCTATAGATCAAATTCCAGTTATCGGGCAAATAGCTTATAAACAGCTGATAAACTGCAAATGAACTATATAATAGACCAAGAAACACAAAAACATTATCATGAAGCTAATGCTTAAGGTCTTATTAATGCATTCCAACACAGCAAATAAAGTCTTACGGGTGGTTTCACTTTATTTTGCTTCTTAACCTATCCTTCTAAACTCTGTGTAAATTAACCGCACGGAGAATGAGAACTCACCACATTCTTGTTTTTCCTCTGGGTGAAGTGTGTGTGAACGATGGGGACAGGGCCCTGCACATGCTACGCCAAGTACCCTGAACTGCCTCCCCTCCCCCCACTCTGGTCTTCAATCAGTTGTTCTGAAGTGTCTTAGGACACATTTGAGGAAATGATAAAAGCCAAGCACCCTTTTCCTAGAAAAACAAACATGGAACACATCTTTAAAAAACATTTCTTTAATCAATATTGAGTTAGATACACAATATTCACACTACTCTGACACCCTATGATTCTGGCAACACTTTGAAGGATACGATGGAATGCTTGCTTGCTTCAGCAATGTTGTCTAATAAATATATGTCGAGCAGTGCCTATCAAAGAAAGGATAAAGCTTCAGCCATCTCAGTTATTCGTTAGCGCCCCCCAGCGTTCCGTTCACAGACCCTGTAAGAGGTGGCACGTTTACTGTGAACCTACATGGAGACTAGCAGGGGGATATTTTCCCGTGCCTCCTTCATCCCGTTTCCACAACTGCTCAACTTGATCTCCTAATTGAGAAACCAATCCATCGATCATCAAGCAATCATGGCTCCACTTCCCTCTGTAATATAGAAACATTACGGACTTTTTAATATAAATGGTAGTAACTGATAACAAGTAACAAACTCTAAAAAGGGAAAAGAAAGAAGTAACTGGACCTCACTCAGCATCATGAGAACTACAGAAACAAATGAGCATTAGTCAGATAAACAAAGATGCTGCCTCAAGTTCAGCCAGTTCACAAGATCAAGTCCTAGGAAAGAATGTGGTCTAACTAGCCAAATGCCAGAGACTATTCCATTTTCCTTTCTCTTAAACAAATTACCACAGTATGGCAGCCCATGTAGTAGGAAACATCCCAGTTCAAAGAGCTGTACTTTCCACCTCTAGGGCTGGTTTGTTCATTCGTATTCCTGCATCCAGAAATTTACCACTGCGCACCAGCAACGCAGTGAGCATATGCTGTCCTATCTCCTTCCTCATCTGCAGCAGCGGTTGCTAGCAATAAAAGCTATTGTAGCAAGTGCCCTGTACGTGTTTTATGTACATTTTACGCTGCTGCTGTAATTCACTAACAGCATGAGGAAATGTAGCAAACCTGAGCATACACACTCGTGAGATCACAGGTACACAATCTTAAATAAACCTACTCAATCTCCCAAGTCATGTTCCTGACCCATATTGGCTACTATAAACATGGCTCCCAAAATTTACACACATCAGAATTACAGCTGCCATGGCCTTTTAAGCACTGACTCACAGGAGATTCTGATCTAAGAAACCTGGAATCCATGTTTGTGAATCACTCCTCAAAATGTTATTTGCTGCTCTACAATTCTTTCACTCCAACTGGAGGAAGAAGGTTATTTAATTGCTAAGAGTTGGGCAAAAGCTCTAAACACTACCCCTTCTTCCAATACTTATTTCAAAGGAACCAATGAGGCTATTCATCTTTGGTTATTTTTTTTTTAAGAGAAAACTAAAATAAATACAAAGAAACAAGAACAAAAGAAAACTGACCAAAGACAATGTGTTGCTGTAGAATTTATAGAATTACAGACACACTTTGTTTTAGCATTTACACCATGACCAACAGAACCTCACCCAGGGCTTGGCACTGTATTTTTGCTGCCACTCCAATAAGGAGGGCAATCAGGGCCTGCACAGATCTAGGGTTATGGAATGATAAGCACCTGCAGGTCACCTGGCTCTCTTGTTTGTATGAGTAAGTGCAAGAATAAAACAGACATGCAAGAATGAGTATCACTGCTAATTTTGGAAAGCCCATTAAAATAACAAATCAGCAACCTTCCACAGTCACTGGAGATAAAAATCACACCCAGGACTCGTTGTGCACTGTTTTTTTTTTGTTGTTGTTGTTGTTTTTTAATGCTAAGGTATAAAAGCTGATCCAAAGTATTTAATACTTTCAGGTATTTACTATGCCTGATATTTCGTATCTAGCAATGCATTAAAGATGGAAGAGAAGAAAAAAAAGAAAGAATGGTCGAAGTTTTGAAAAGTAACTTAAATAAAAGAACTTTGGTGATATATTTGTGCTTTTATGAAGAGAAAACTCTAGTCTTTTTTCTGAATAAGAATTTTCAGGGAAGAAATGCTTAGCTTATTAAGTTCTCTTAACAAATAACTCAAATAATTTTATTTAGGAAATAATGGTACCACAGTCTAGTATACAAGTTAGGTCAAAGCAAACGATGCAACTAAAATGTTGATTCCAGGGGCAAATTCTGACATTCACTGAGCGTTCCACCTGTTCCATCACTTTACAGCACAGACTGACAGAAGTAACTTATGAACACGCACTGTACCTAGGCGAGCGCCCGCACTTCTGCCGACGGCTGGTGTAGTAACTCTGGACCACAGGGTAGTTGTAGCACAGCCTCGACAGCTGCAAAGCGTCATCTGGATGGGTAAAGAGTTGGAAAAAGTGAGTCATATTCCAAAGTGCCCCAGTAGCATTTAAGGTTACAGCAGACCTTCTACCCACGTGGTTTTTACTATGTCTTCATAATACTGCCTGGCTCACAGGGCTTGACAAAGTGAATACAAGAATAAAGCACACCCTTTTTAAAGTTCAAATAGATATACAAAGAGGAAACTGACTCCTCATGAAAGTCTGTAACAACAAGAATGCTGGCTAGCTTTAAGCCCTGGAAACTGTTCTAAATAATTTTACTCCCTTGCTACAAACAATAATTTGAAGGAAAGCCAATATTTACTATCTGTTCAAATCAGAATGTAAGACGACTATGGAAGAGTAAGAGCACCAGTGAAGTGGGCGAGGCACTAAGGTAAGATCTAATGTGCTGCCTGGAAATGCAGTAAAGTAGAACCTTTAGAAGTATGTTCTAAACAGTGTGCAGAAGTCAATACTGGAATTTTAAAAGTCTTGGTAATGGCATTAATTATTAAATAAAAGGAAGTATTTAATTGATGGCAAATATTAACAACTATATTAAAAGAACACTATGCCGGGCACTGGTATTGCATACCTATAATCTTAGCTAGTTGGGAAGCTGAGATCTGGAGGATCACAGTATAAGGACAGCCCATGGAAACAGTTCATGAGACCCCATTTGTAAACTATCCTCAGCAAAATGGACAGAGGTGTGGCTCAAGAAGTAGAGCTCCTGCTACACTAGCGCTAAGTCCTGAGTTCAAACCCCAGTCCCACAAAAAACAGAACATGAGGAATAGGTCAGCAACTTAGGTTAATAAAAAACATAGTCCGTGGATATAATTATAGTTAGTGATATTTAGTTATACCCAGATGCATTATTTTCACAGAAATGTTGTCTCAAATTTGATCTCCTTTCAAAACAATGACTATAACCCACAGACCCTGTTATCAGGCATTGGGGGTGAAGCATGAAACACAGAAGAATGTAAGGAAACAAGTTAGAAGAAAGGAAGCAGAACAGGCCAGAACAACAAAATTACAGTTAAGAATATATGGATTAGTAATTGCAACTAAATAAATATTTTACCTAAGCCTTCTGGTAAAAGCCCAGAATGAGAGAACCAAAGAACCATTTGTGCATACTGACAGATGAGCCGGGTAACCAAGTGCTTATTGCTCAAGTCCACCAGTCCTATAAAGGAGTTCGTAGCAGTTGTTAGTTTTCAACTTATCAACCACAAGTGAAAAATCAAAACGCTCAACAATTTTTAAACCTAAATGCTTACTGATTTTTAACAGTATGTTTGCTGCAAATAAATTCGGCTTGTATCCAATTTATTTTGGTGCAAAATGACATTAATCCAAACCTCCACATACTAAAATGATTAAGTCATTAACTAAAGTGGACATCTTATACCAATAAGTATAATATCATCAATATAGGTTGTTCAAATTGGGCCTTTAAGTGAAACTGGTCTTTTTTCCTTTGTTGAAATGTGAAATGGCAAATAGTCACTTCTCTGAATAAAAGAACATGTAACTTCAGAATTTGAAATTCTACTGGAAGTACATTTCTTTAACAATCATGAACTGTGCTAAGCCCAGAATTCTGAAGCTTATCTTAACACTGGCTCATGTTACATCTAACAGGATTCCGTAGCTTTACATTAAAAAACGCTAGCAGTGAGAAATGACATCCTGTTTACACAATGATTCACCTAGGAAATAAGAGCTATATTCTTTCTTTAAGTCAAGAAGTAAAACTTAATAGGACGCTCATCTGCAGAAAACAAAGAGCATACCTCTCTGGGTGATCTCTTGTGCCTCTGTTTCAAAGCAACCTAAGACAGTATTAAGGTTGCTAAGAACCAAATGGCACTGCTGGATAGATTGTATGGTTTGTGGATCGATGAAACGACACGAACCGTCAAATAATGGTGCGCCTTTCAAAGAGAAAATACAAGATTAGTTTCCACACAGTAAATCTGAATGGATTAAAACCACAAATGCAGATTTACATTCCTATTCCTCAAAACAATTATTTTACTTCTTACGAACTTTACAAAGACAAGGCAGAAACGGCAAATAGCCTAAAGAAACCTAGAATGTGCTTTCAACATAAAACCAGCAAAGTCAGAGCAAGTGGCTGGAGGCCTGATGCATGTATGCAGTTCAGAACTTGGCTAGAAAGCAAGAGTTCAAGCCCCAGGCAGCACAAAGACAGAGAGGGAATGTGAATCTGAGCTCAGCCAATGAAAACCTGTAGCAGATTTCATAACCATTACATGTCATGATAGGGATTCATTCTAATGCCAATTTAACCACATTAACCTCTGGGACTGGACAATGATGATATTCATTGTAAAATCATTCCTCAATCAAATTCTAATTTTCTTTATTTCCAATACATTTATGACACTTATTATGTGCCATATTTTAATTATTCTCAAACTAAAGAAAGCCTCCAGGACTAGGGGCGGGCTCAAACAGGTCTTGAATTCAATACCTAATACCGCTAAATAAACAACAAACCCAAAAAAAAAAAAAACAAACAAAAACAACAAACCCCATTAATCAGTAACAAAGCTCACAGCTTCCACAATACCTGCTACAAAGTGAGACCCTGAAATGCCACACAACGCTCAAAATACAACAGGCATGTAAACGTGTAATCAGCCTGAAATTTTCCTCTTAAAAAAAAAAAAAACATTTTTACTCTTGCCTGAATTATCAGGCATTCTTCCAGACTTTGACTATACTAGCTGGGGCCAAAGAATTCAAAATTAATTATTTCACATTCATAATTATTATTCCTAAGCATGACCTAAAAATACTATAGAACTCTATGTATTCAAGTCAGTTTTTGTTGGTTTAAAAATCCTCTACTGATGCCAGGTTTGGTGGTGTGTACCTGTTATTCCAGCTACTGGGAGCAATAGGTAGGCAGCCAGCCCAGGGCAAAAACTTAAGTCCTTATCCAAAAAGAAAGAAAGAAAGAAAAAACTGGGGCAGGAGGAGGTCGAGGGAGAGTGATGATGGGGACAATCTAACCAATGTATAATATAAGCCTATTTGGAATTGTCACCAATGAACTGCCTGCCCACCCCCTGTAGAATGAATATATCCTAGTCAAAAAAAAAAAAAAAAAAAAAGCAAAAAAGGGCTAGTGGTGTGGCTCAAGTGATACAGCAACTGCCTAGCAAGCAGTTGCTGAGTTCAACCTCCAGTATTGGCCAAAAATAAAAATTTTTAAAGTTAAAAATAAAAATTCTCTACTGAGAATAACTTGTGTTAAGCTACTTACAATCAAGTATCTTTAGAAGTCCGCTTGTTCATTTGTCATGACACAAAAGAAATGACCAAAAACATGTACATCTAAACAAGCTTTTTATTTCTCTTATTGGGTAATCATTTATCTTTAATTATTGTACTGGGCTGGGGTTGAGCTCAGTGGTAGACCACTTGCCTAGCATGTGTGAGATGCTGGGTTTCATCCCCAAACCACCAAGAAATAAAAAATACTGCCAATTCTATAATGGTGCTTTCAACCTTCTTTTTTGTACTAATCGAACGTAATGAGATTTTTAATATTCACTGCACACCTCAAACTCAAATGTGTACAACAGATCAGTAAAAATGACTTGTCACAGCAATACAACATCTGTTGGTGACACACTGGCTTCTTCATATGTGTGAGTATTCTTAACGTCAATAAGGAGAGGATTTTTCAAATGGCACATTCCTCTTACTCCACTCACAAGTGTATTTTGTAAATTAAACTCCTGAAACCAAAAGATAAAAAGGTAATTGTGAAGCTTGCTACTTGTGGCATATCAGCATGTTGACACTTTAACAATCTGCTTTGACATTTTGGTCAAAAATTACTCTAGAGACGTGAGGTGTGGCTAAGTGGTAGAGTGTGTGCCTACCAAGCCCTCAGTACAGGAAACGGAAAAAAAGAAAAAAAAAAAAAAGTGTAATAAAAATTATCTGAGTTACTTTAATGTAAAAGTATTTTCTTCTAGAACTTTAAATTTTAGGTTTACAACTTAAAAACTATTGAAATTATTATTATATGCTTAAAATATAATCTAAGATTATTTATTTTAACTATTAAAATTTGCCCCCAAATCTAGATTTGTAATACTTACATAATCTATCAAATTCTTCTTTTGTGAAAACCACTTTATTCCATGTCCATTCAAGAACAAAGCGCAAATTTGCAGCAGAATTTGGTTGTTCTTAGTTGTAAATATGAAAGGGGAAAAAAAAAGATTATTACAAACTGAACTAGGTAACTTTGCAGTGGAGAAACTTGGCAGAGCCCCTAGCCAAATTCCACCATTAATGGGGTCACAGTGGACCCTGCTCAGTGCATCACACCAAGAATACCTTATTTCATGTGTCGTGCTGCCAACAGGACAAAACCTGGATCTGACTGGGAGGGAAGATCAGTGAATACAAAGTGAAAGGTAGCCTATAAAACAGCATACTTGTGTGCTTGCTTTAAAAAAAAAAAAAAAAGCTGAATTTCTGTAAAGGACAAAGGATTAGAACTGCACCAGACTGAGGGTGATTAAAGATATGAAAACTAGCCAGGTGTGGTGGGCACTAGGAGGCTGAAGTAGGATGATCTAGCATTTGAGGCTAGCCTGAGTTACACAGTGAAATCCTAAAACTAAATATAAAGCATGATTCTGGACTGCCCTCACCCTCAATTTCAATAAAAGGACATTAAAGGAACAATTCATAAGACTTTAATTAGTGTTAACTTTCTTGGGTTTTTTTTTTTTTTTTCCTAGTCACAATGATGTTTTATAAGTGAATCTTTGTTTTAAGTAGAAAATAATAAAGAAATATATTAAAGAAGCTTGATGACTTATTCTCACGATTCAGAAGAAAAGATAGCACGCGTGAGTGCAGGGGTTATGTATGTGTGACAAGTGAGAGTGACACACACAACCACTGGATTTTTGCAGTGAGAAAAAAGTTAATCCCAAAAGCTTACTGTATGACTTCATTATATGAACGTGCTTGAAATGACAAAAGCTTAGAAATGAAGACCAGATTGGTGGTTATAGGGTCAGAGGGTGGGTTAGGAGAAGTAGGTAGGGAGGGCAGCAAGAGGGTCCTGGATGCAATCCTGTGTTGGAGGTTTAGCAGACTGTACCCCTGCAGAAAAACTGTGGTACAAGGGGGTCACAGCTCTCTGTATCCCGCCTCACAACTTCATTGTGAGTCCACAATCATTTCACAGAAAAAACAGCAAACCATGGACTGTAATTACCAAGAAGACATTACCTTCTACTATCCACCTTTTGATACAACCAGTCAGAAGTCCCAGGGAACTTGTCTGAATTGCTGCTGACAATATAGCTTCTAGTTGTTCTTCCTAAACCGTGCGTTAAGAAAGAAAAAATGACAGTATGAGATTACAAGTGGCAAAAGGCTACAAACATCATAACCCACTAGGATGGTTATCATCAGATTCAGATAGTAACAGGCACTGGTAAGGAGCCAAAAATGTAAAATGGTACAGCCACTTTGCAGAGCAGTCTGGCAGTTCTTTTAATATGTTGAACAGAGCCAGCATTTCCAAACCTACATACATACTCAAGAGAAATCAAGTACGTACACAAAACCTTCACAAGAAAGATCATAAACACCAAAGAGCAGAAACATACAGCATGCCCACTGATTGCTGTATGGTATGAGCCATAGGGCAATACTTTCCTGAATCCTTTTAGTAAACAAAATTTGAGCTGTGTGAAGTCATTTTTGAAAGTTCTTGTTTGTGAATAAAAATTTGAAGCAGACATGATCACAAGGAATAAAGAGGCATAACTCAACAAGGACAAAGGCAAAGTACCATGGGCAAGAGCTCCACAGGTATTTGAAAGCAGCATGGAATAGATGACAGTGTGAAGGAAACTATGATCTCAAGTCCCACAGGGAAGCCTGCAGAGGACAGCAGAGCTAGTCTGGCAGTCAGAACCCTATTAGGCTAAGTTCTAGAAGAAACTAGGTTCAGAGAAAGTACAGGGAAATGGGTGCCAAACATGATATGAAAACAAGTTAAAAGTGAGCATGAAAGAGTCCAGCCCTTCTATGACACTTCAGCAAATGACCTGGAGGCCAGATAGTCCTACCTATTTCTTTGAAAAAACTTGAATGGCCCCAGAAACAAAAGTGGCACTCCATTATCAAGGTGGTCCTTGCTTTGGCAACACTTACACAAAAACTGGGAAAACTGGAGGTATGACTCAAAGTGGTAGAGCACCTCCCTCACAAGCATGAAGTCCCAAGTTCAAACAACAATATTGCGGAAAAAAAAAAAGTCTACATCTAACCTATTACACTAAAGTAAAGACTATATCTGAAGCCAGATGCTGGTGACTCATGCCTGTAATCCCAGCTACTCAGGCAGGAGGCATAGATCAGGAGAATCGCAGTTGAACCCTGGCAAATAGTTCTCGAGACCCTATCTCAAGAAAACCCATCATAAAAAAGGGCTGGCAGAGTGGCTTAAGGTGTAGGCCCTGAGTTCAAACTCCAGTACTGCAAAAAACAAAACAGAAAACAAAGAAAGGATGTACCAGGAATATTCTGCTCATAAAAGAGAGAAGCACACAATCTGTAACTGACTCAACTTTACACGTGGACAAGACAGCCTACCTAGGTCTTCCAAACAATTGAAGACAGCACTAGCTTCAAGACCAAAGTAATAAAAGTAAAAATGACTGCTGAGAAAATTGATAATGAAGGAAATTAAGTAAAAATTTTAAATATACATAGAAGACAGTCCATCCATAAAGGAAGAACAGAATATTATAAAAAGATGATCAAATAACAAGAGCTCATAGAAATTTTAAATGAAGGCTAATTTTTAAAAAAATCTAATAGAAGTCGGGGGCTAGTGGCTAACACCTGAAATCTTAGCTAGTTGGGAGGCAGAGATGAAAGGATTTTGGTTCAAGGCCAGCCCAGGAAAACAGTTCATGAGAACCCATCTCCCAAAATAAACCAGAGTAAAATGGACTAGAGGTTTGGCTCAAGTGGTAGAATACCTCCTTTGTAAGCACAAAGTCTAGTTCAAACCCCAATCCCACAAAAAGCTAATAAAGGGAAAATGATGAAGAAATATCCTGGAAAGTACAGCCAGAGGCAAGAGACAAATTATTGCAAAGTAAAAAGCCATTAGAAGATTAATTCAGAATATTCAACATTTGTCTACTGGGGTTTTATACAAAGAAAAAGATCAAGATGAAGAGAAGAAAAAATTAAGGCTGTATGAAAGAGACTGGACAAGTTTAAAAAAAAAAAAGCCACTTGGAAACTCCAGGAAAAACAAAGGTTATACAAGAAAAAATGTTACAACAGACTACTGAATGACTATATGGTGTACAATATATAAGTACAGCAGTATGAACATGGGGAATGGGGAAGATCTGGTATTAACACGTTTCTTCTTATTTCCCCTCAAGTATTAAATTCCAACTGTGGAGATAAACCATCACACACAGTATTTATAGTTCATCTGATATTTAAAAGGCTCCTTTTCTAGGATTTCCTTATATTACGTATCTGTAAGTATTTAAATAGCTTAAACACTACTTGTGGAGGAAGAGTTAGTAAGCATGGGATTTACTTTCTTTGAACACATTTCACAAATAAGTTGGAGTAAATGAGGATTCCTGTGTCACCAGGTGATACTGCTTATATAGTAAGGTATCTCCTTATTATTGGTACAAGGTACTGGTAATGGGAAGGGAATACAAAAATCCACTGGAAGCTAAGACTCTGGCTTCTGTTCCTGAGCCTGATTCCCTTTACTAGAGGAACCTGGATGGTCACTAATAGGCTTTTTATATCATTCAGGTTTCTACAGAGCTAGGGTCAGTAGTTTCAAATGGTAAGGTAAACACAGATTGATAGCATCTACTCCCAAAGTTTCTGATTCAATACCTGTAAGGCAGGAACCAAGAACTTGTATTTCTAACAAGTTCCCGGGGAAGCATTTTTTGATATAGGTCATGAAATTCAACTTGGTTTGCACTCATGTGACTTCACTCATGCTGTTCTCCCCGGGGGCTGGAAAATGGCCACTAGTCTGCAATAGGACTTCTGTTCATGACATGTCTGATGATGTCATGGTGTGTTTCCTGTTATACACCCATCTACACAGCTAACTGAATCTGGTGCCAAATTATGGCCTATTGAACCTTGGAAGTATAACCTCCTAAGCCAAACCCAAGACAACAACTACTAAGTGGGCATGACACTATCCACTGATTTTTATTAGCATAGCAAGCTAGTAACATGCAATCCAACAGAAAGAATACAGTCAAAAAACACCATCTCACCTGACTTAAACTGGAAGGCTGGATATCACTGAGTCTTGGTGAGAGAAGGCCAGCTACAAGACAACGACTATAACCATCAGGAATGACCTCATCAAGTGATGGTCCTGATTTCTTTAAAAAAGTCAAAGTCTGCAATATATAAATATTTAAGACATCAATCAGTACTAAGTTATAATCATCAAATTTAGGAATAATTAAAAATGTACTTAAACCTTGAGTAAAACTACAAAAATGCCTAATGGAAAGACTACATTGCAAGACCAAGGAGAAGGGTTTTTAGATTTTGTTTTTTTTTGGCAGTACTGGGGTTTGAACTCAATCTTGCTAGGCAGGCACGCTACCACTTGAGCCACTCCACCAGCCCAGGGCTTTTAGATTCTTGAACTCAACTGATGCTCGTTACTTATGAATGATATTGAGAAGGCATTTTAGGTAGAGTACATAACCTTCTCTAAAGCCGATGCATTTGGTAACACATCTTGACACCTGACATGTATGAACTTTTATTTCTATGTCTAACATGACAGAGATTGGAGATAAAGTATAAATACAGTATTCATTCACATTTGGCTGATTATCAATAGAAAGGGCGGCCACCATTCCCCAGGGAAGACTTTTTCTATATACTGATTTCTTTTTTCATCTTCCCTGTGCCAGTACCTTCTCCTCATTCAACTTTTAGAAAAGATCCAAGAAGAAAGGATTTGAAGAAAAAATGGTGGTAACTTCCACATAAAGCTGCTAAAACATCCCAATTGTTCCTCCGCAGGTTGTCACTAAAACTGATGCTACTTAACTGCTAATCTCAAAGACGTGGCAGACAGTCCCATTTAGGATGGAATAACAGTTTGCATGATGCACACTCAAGGTTGAGTACATTCATCACGTGTTCTCTCATGCCTTCACTTTAACCAAGGAGCCACCTGTGTGTGGCTACTCACCTCCTTCTGAAAGCCAGTGCAGGTTATGTGGACAACTCCTGAGTTCAACAGGCAAGTGGCATCTGAGTGAGCAAACAAGTGCGGCAGTGAGCGTCTGCATAAATGTCATGTATGAATGCACTTAAAGCAAAAGTCATCCTGCTAACAGACTGCCAGGCAACCAAACTGCTACTTACAATAAATGCTTGAGCAAACTTTTACAGGCCCTTTCACCCTGACAATAACTACCCTTATCATGAGTGCACTGACTATGAAAGACACAAAATTTTCTACTACATTCAAACTAAGTGCTAATTTCTTTATAAACGTTAAGTACCAAATTTCTCACATATGTGTATCAAGTTTATCCCCTAAATTATCCATGTTAAATAACAATCAGGCTGGGGATACAGCTCAGTGGTTTAGTGTTTGCCTTCAATCATGAGGCCCTGAGTTCAAGCCCCAGTATCACACACACAAAAGTCAGATATGAACATAATTCTATGTACAAATACCATCGTTTTTCTTTCTTTCTTTTTTTTTTGGTGGTACTGAGGCTTGAACTCAGGGCCTCATGCTTGCTAGGCAGGTGCTCTACACCTGAGTCACTCCACCAGCTTTACATAATCTACACACTACTTTTGCATGTTACTTTTTTTAAAAGGTGAAGTTAAGAACATACATACCAAAATTAAATGTACTTGGGTTAAAAAATTGCTCTGGAGGTGGATATGAAGGAGGAATGCCTCGACTTAAACTTCTCTCATGTACTAATATATCCAAGATGTAATGTGGAGAAGTCCTGCTTACAACAGACTCCAATGACCACAATGCAAAGTAAGAGCAATTATGCAGATATTCTCCTGATCTAAAAGAAAATTTTAAAAATTACTAAGTCATTGGTCAGCTATGCACACCAATGTGGGAGGGAGAGGAGGAGAAGAAAAACAAAATAATCATTACCTTAATGAATCTGGCATTTGTGCATGATACCAACGATTTATGTCAAAAAGCCCCAAGTACACAGAAGGTTTTCCCTGTCCATATATATTCACTTGCCAGGTAAAGACTGAAACACTAGTATCAGGAGATAGAGCTGAAAGAAAAAAAAAAAAAAAAAAAGACACTTTTAAAATGAAGGATCTCAATATAAAATCATCAACAGAACCATAAGATTTTCTCCTAAATTTAGGTTTAGAGTTGTCAAAACACACTTCTATCATTTGAATGTAAGAAAACACTAATTCACTTATATTTTGACTGCTTCTCTTTTCTAAGACATTATTGAAAAGTACTCATCAGAAAAGTTCTGGCCTGACTTGTTTCCAGTTAACATTTTAGGAACTTTGAGATTCTGGAAGCAGAAAGTAGAAAGTAACTTTTAACAATGTTCTCCCAGGGATGGTCCACAACTAGCTCCAGAGAAGTTAATTCACTGCCTGACACGAGTACCTCTGGGCACTAGGGCTTAGCTCTTTAGAGGAACCTTGGTAAAGTTACTGATGTAACTTTACAGTGAAGAGAAAAAAAAGACAAGCATACATGGACAGAGGCTGTGGAATGGCACTAGAGTAAGGGATATCACCAAGACAAGGGAGAAGTAAAATTGGAGACACTGCCAATGAGAAATAGAATAGGGAAGATGTGGCTGGAAAATGAAGAGGGAGCCCGCTACATTCTGCTTTGGGCATGTTTAACTGGATATGAAAACAAGATCACATGCAGATGTGGGAAATACGAAATGAGCATCTCTGGGAGGAATGAGCTCACTGTGAGAGTGAACCTCGGAGCACAGCACAAAACCAACAGCATGAATGAGCGTTTCCAGCACTCCAACCTCACAACCACCCCTTGCAAAGGGTGTGCATGTATCAGCCCACTTACAAGTGGACAAAAAGGGCTCAGAAATGTAACCTACAGACGGTCATACATAGTGACAGGGATAGAATTTGAAGCAATGCTGCATGGAAAAATCTATGCCGGGATATTTTACAAGGAAGATGGGAGGACTAAAGGAGACAAGGAAAAAAAATTCAAGGTAACACAACATGTTTACCATATATGGCTCAAAGTATACACAGGGGAGAGAGACTGTTTACACTAGTTAAGATTAGAGACCACAGCCAAGTGCTGGTTGCTCACACCTGTAATCCTACATACTCAGGAGGCAGAGATGAACAGGATCTCAGTTCAAAGCCAGCCCAGGGCACGTAGTTCACAAGACCCTATCTCAAAAATATCCAACACTAAAAAGGGCTGGCAGAGTGGCTCAAGTGGTAAGAGCACCTGCCCAGCAAGCATGAGGTCCTGAGTTCAAACCTCAGTACTGTGAAAAAAGAAAAAAAAAAGAGACAAACTTTGTTTTAAGATCTGGATTAAAATTACAAGGGTCCTACTGAGTGCTGATGGCTCATGCCTATAATCCCAGCTACTTGGGAGGATAACATCAGGAGGATTTTTGTTTGAGCCCAGCCTGAGCAAATAGTTCATGAGACTCCCATCTCAACCAACAGCTGGACCCTGTGGTGCAAGCCTATCCATCCTGAGTTACATCAGCGGCTGTATTCAAGAAGATCATTGTTCCAGGGCACCCGGGCAAAAATGTTTGTTGAGATCCCATCTCAAGACAGGCACAGGCCTATCATCCAAGCTATGGTGGGGAGCATACAATAGGACTGAGATCCAGGACAGCCTGGGCAAAAAGTAAGACCCTGTCTGCACAATAACCAGAGCAAAAAATGGAGGCATGGCTCAAGTGGTACAGCATCTGCTTAGCAAGCACAAAGTCCTGAGTTCAAACTCCAGTACCACAAAAATAAATAAATAAATAAATTTTAAAAAGAGTATTAGCCTAATGTAGTCAATTCTTGAGTTCTATACAGCAATCTGCAAAGCCAAGAAATACGTAGTATGTGATGCAGGTCTAAATAAACACCAAAATCAGCACTCTAATTTGTTTAACTGTCAGGCTTGATAACTATAAATCAACACCTATCATAAATCTTCAACCAAGCATTCACATGGTATAGTACTTTTTTAAAAAGTTTTTGTTTTGTTTTTTGTGGTACTGGGGACTGAACTCAGGGCTGCACGAATGGGAGACAAGCTCTCTACCACCTGAGACACAGCTCAGCACCATACAGTACTTTTAACCAACCTTCACTCACGCCTTCTTCCCTCTCGCCATGAGATCGAAATTTCTCTATACTCTGGCATCCCAACAACTTGGTATTACTAGTCTGTCCTCTCAAGGGAAACATGCCACCTGCCAGGTCCAGGGTGTATCTCTCTTCACAGTACTCTAATCCCTGTAACATAAAATGTACACACACATCTTAATAGGAGTAAACATTCCCCAAATTTAATGATTTTTTTCATACAATTCAAAGATAAAGACAAAGACTAAAGAGAAGAAATCACTGAAAAAGACTCTAAGACCGTACAAGTATATAGTGTGTATACAGACACATACCATAGGGAAAATTAAAAGTTAAACTTAGACTCATCTTGTAAAGTTGCATCACACATGGGAAACTTCATGAGATACCAGCTGGAGTGCAAACAGAATAACCACCAAAGTATGCAGGGCTGAGGTGCAGCTGCACATACTTAGCACACACAAGGCCCTGGGTTCAATCCCCAGTGCTGTACCATCAAAACAAACAAAATTACACATGCATACACCATTGGTCAGCAGAACCTATTTGTTCTCACTCAAATTCTTGGTCTAGAATAGATTTTATACATTTTTTAACTCAATGATTCCTTTAACAATCTAACAAAATGGCTATGCATAACCTTAAAAATGCTACATATAATACTAGCACCGGTGGCTCATGCTGTAATCTTAGCCACTTGGGAGGCTGCCTGGACAAGCAGCTCCTCATCTTCAAATTAACCAGAGCCAAATGGACTGGAGGTGTGGCTCAAGTGGTAGAGCATCTGCTTTGAAAGCACCAAGTCCCAAGTTCTAACCTCAGTTCCACAAAAACAACAACAACAACATATAGTTCAGGAACTCAATGGATAACCTAAAAGCCACCCATCCACCCTCAAACACTAGGTCAAGAACTCAATCACCTGAGAGTCTAGGTACATTTCCTCTCTAAGCCACTCAAGCTCATGGCTTCATGCCAGTCAGAACAGCAAAGTTAGGGTTTTAATTAGGTCACATTTGAGTCATCCGGTCTCCCTGTCTGGAAGAAAATGGTATCTGGAGAAATTAGGTGAGAGTGCTACAATGGTAAAACAGATTAGACATCTCAATCAGTAATCTACTATTTCTCTCACCCTATTATGAATGCAATATTAACTTGAATATAAGAACTTTCCTGGGCTGGAGGCACGGCTCAAGCAGTAGAGCACCTGCATGGTGAAGGTGAAGCCCCGAGTGCAAACCCCAGTACTACAAAAATAAAAAAATTTAAAAAGTCACTTTTCACTACCTTAAAGGCAACACACATAAAACGGGAAACAAAAACCAAAAAGATGGCATTTTAATTATCATTTACCTCATATACGATTTGTCCTGATGCCAAACACTTTCTGTCACCAAAGGCCAGCTGAAGCAGATGTAAACTCAAAACATCCCCTTCACTGAAAGACAGGGAAATCAATAAAGACACACTAAATATCACACTAAAACATCTCACCATCTGAGTTTTTTACCCCACAGTGAGCGCAAATCATAACTGTCACTGTGAAGAACTTGGTGTTATGTGGTTGTTTTCACAAAACGTAGTCCTTTGAAGCAATTTTTACCTTTTATTGATTCTAACTCGTTAAGCTTGATGTTGTCTGTGCACTGTAGGTTATATCTATGTGGCAGCAACTCTAGCTTTTTACCCAAAAATCTTTCTCAGACAATCCTCCTTCAACAGGTTTTAATTAGGCACCTGGCTGCCTGAAATGTCAGCTGTATTTCCGTCCTTCCTTTGTGGCGAGACATGGTATTCCTGGCCAAGTTGTGGCTAACAGGGAGGCGAGGACAATGCTTCCATGGACTACAGAGTGTCCCTTAGGGGACATGTTCTTTGTTCCTTCTTCCTGGTCTCTCCCTCCAATTTGTCATGAAGAGGATGAGGAGCACACAGTAAGGACTCGGTCACCTATATTACACGTGCAATGTGAAGTGCTGAGCATGCAGTTATTTCACCTCAACCTCAACTCCTGTTACTAGCAGATCCTTCAACACACCTTTACTTGGATTCCAGCATAACACTGTCCATTCCTCAGTCATCCTTGGCTCCCCTGTGCACTTTTTCTCAATCTCCAAGTACCTCTGAGAATCTGAGGGTCACAAGACTCAGTTCCAGCTCTCTTCTTTTCCCCCAGTGTTGTCACTCAATCTAGGCTGAGGTTCCCAACCCTGCTTGGTTTTTAGATTCACTAGAGAACGCTCAGACTTCCCACCAGAGATTAATTTAACAGGTAGGAGGGAGACAGACCAAATTCAAACATTTTCCTCATCCTGATTTCAACATCTATCTATATGAACAAGTTCTGTTTTTCTGGCCTCGTCTACAACTACTCTGTGCTCTACCATCCTGGTCTTGCTTTCCTTCAGACATTTTTCTAGGACTTATGTATTCTTCCCTTCTGTATCTCTCCCCATTTCCAGTCCTAACTTCATTCAAATCTATCTAAAAATAGCACTTCTCTGTACTCTACCATATTCTTTCTTTTTGGGGGGCAGTACCAGGATGTGGACTCAGGGCTTCATGCTTGGATGTGGACTCAGGGCTTCATGCTTGCTACCCTACTGCACCCTATGTATCTTATCCCAGGTCCACTTTGCAACACTTAACATCACTATCTGAATTACATTCCATGTACACACTTGGCACCACATTCACCCTCCTTCCTTTCCCCGCCACCTCCCCCCTCATACCGGGGCAAGACCTATGCTGCCTGTCTTTGAAAGGCAAAAGTTTTGAACAGCTGAATGGTTTTGTGGGATTATGTTTCATGTGGAAAGAAAGGATTTTCCTACTGGTAACAATTTTATTTCATTATTTATGTATGTATATACACATGTATGTATGCAAGTATTTTATTGCTGTGCTGGGAATACATTGTGCCATTTACAAAAGTCCTTACAGCCACATGCTTGTGGCTCAGACCTGTAATCCTTCCTACTCAGGAGGCACAGATCAGGAGGATTGTGGTTCAAAGCCAGTGCCGGCAAACAGTTCTCAGGATCCTATCTCAAAAAAACCCATCACAAAAAAGGGCTGGTGGAGTGATGCAGGGTGTAGGCCCTGAGTACAAGTCCCAGTATCGCAAAGAAAAAGTTCTTACAATCTATCAAATACATCATACTTGAATTCACCTTCCTTAAAAATAAATAAATAAATAAATAAATAATAAATAAATGTACACAGTACCTACACATTTATTATCTCTCTTCTCCACTGGACTACAAGGACAGAAATGATCTGTGTTAAGCACTGTTACATGCTGAAGGGCAGTTGCTGCTGAATGAGTAAATACATGACTAAAACGCAAAGACAAATAGCTCCTAAAACCCAGATATTAAAAGGACAGACCACACAAAACCAGCATGTTTTTATTATAATCAATGAGCAGCATGACAACAATTTAAAATCTATACCCATGCAATGTTATGGTGACATCCATTCCACAGCGATTCTTCCTTTTTTCCCTCTTTTGCTCAAAAAACTCTTCTGACAGGGGAAAATAGACCATACCACTGTAATGTATGGAAGAGGTTAGCACTCTCCTTAAAAAGGATGGAAGAGGCTGTCGGGCTTGACAGGTAAGGCACTGCTCATTTACTTTGTGGAATCCAACCATCATTTTTTGATGAAATCTCTTGCAATTGCTTTAAGTGGGGCAGGGCAAGTTTTGCGGGAAGATATAGTTAGATTAGCCAATCTAACCAACGTACAATGTAAAACTATTTGGAACTGTCACAAAGAATCACCCCTGTACAATGAATATACCCTCATAAAAATGGAAAAAGACCACATCACAAATCTTAATTTAACTTGTGTACTAACTTTATATTCATATTTGAGTCAACTTAAAATACCATTAAGTGCTGGGAGACTCAAGGACCAGGGGACTGGGAGAACAGACAACAACATACACAGTTATAAAGCAAGAGATCAGTCTTACAATGACTGAGAGCAGGATTCCTGACCTGGGTCCCACAGGTGGCTCTGGGTAGGTCATGAGCTCCCTTCAACTGTATGCAAGGTGACTTACAGTCACTTAAACAAATGAGTACGCATACATGCATTATGAACTCACACTAAAAGGCTTCCCTAGATTCCCACACAGGTGCGTGTCCCACTACCATAACCCAAGACAAAAATGTCAGATCTCAAGGCTGGAGATGTGGCTTAAGTGGCAGAGCACTTGTCTAGCAAGAAGGTCCTGAGTTCAAACCCCAGTACCACCAATATCTACTTGACCTTAAGAACCATAATATCAATATGCTAACAATTACAAAGTAAACAATTTATGAATAATCCAAATTACAAATAAAATTAAACCTGTCTCATTAAAAGAAAAAACAAAGTACTAGAAATTAGTTTAAAAGTCAACAGAGAGTTATTCCCATGTTACCTGATGTGCTGTGATCTAACAATAAGGATAAGTAGATACTAGGCAGTACTGTTAAGAATGACAGAAGCCATGAGCTAGGGGAGGGCTCAAGTGGCAGACTGCCTGCCTAGTAAGTACCAGGCCCTGCACTCAAATCCCAGTACTGCTGAAAAAAAGAAAAACAGAAAGATCTACCATGCCCATATTTAAAATGGATTCATCTGAGGTCTGAATGGATATACAGTTCTGAAAACAATACAAAATCAGTTCATAAGAATTTAGAAAAAAAATCAGGAAAAAGTGGGCATCGCAGTAATTAAAAAGCCTAAAGCTCCATAAAAATCCAGAAATCAAGACACAGATGCATTCAACAGGTTCCAAAACAATGTAAGAGGGAATCCCTCTCAATTTTACTGTTGAGAATCTAGAAAAAGAAAAATGAGTGTATAGAATTCATCACTCCAAGGGATGGTGCTGGAGGGAGAAACAATGGACGACAAAACTGTGTGAGTGAGTGCTCCCCACCACTTAGTGGGTGAACCCTCCTTCATTCCGTACCACGTGGGGCCTCCACAAGTCGCATTTCTCAAGTGCCTGACTGGCATCCCAACCAGACTGATGGGCTATGGATGAAATTCAAGAAGGGGAGGATTCCAATCTCACTGCAATTTTCTCCACCATTAACAACAAAGTGGCAAACTGATTCTGGTGGCAAACTGCAGTGTAGGTAAGACAAAACCTGAAAGTAGATACTTAATACAAAACCCCAAGCTGACCAATATTCGGGCATGCAGCATTTGAAGTTGGACAGAAGAGAAGCTACAACAGTAAGTTATCAAGACTTCAGCATTTATTTCACAAACCTAATGGTTTCCTCAAAGAAAGAACCCCCACAGGATAGGGGGTTCCAGCACTGGAATGAACAAACTTCATAGTTAGAAATTAGACAGGATTTCTCTAGAGCTAAATGCAGAGGAAGATGAACCAAGCTCATCATAGGAACGTATTGTGGAAGGCGAGTAGAAGGACCAGAGAACACAGAAGAGGCAAATAAAAAACAGAGGGAGAAGGATGTAATTACAAATGAGAAAAAGTGTTCTTGTGAGTAGAAGGCCATAAACTGCCTACGGTAACTGCCTACTTATCTTAATTGGCTTACTTTTTCAAATAGCATTTGAACAAGAAAAATAAGTACAATTTCTTCTTAATGTTATCTTAGAATTATTCAAGCATGTAGCACATTCAACTTTTAAAATAATTTCAACTACCACTTACCAATTCTCTGAATTATGTTGCTTTCATTAAAAGAAACAACACAGTAGAAAGCCTCCCTAAAGAAATGGTTCCATTTTTGATAAGGTAATTTTTTTGTTTGTCATTGTTTGGGGCCTCACACATGCAAGGAAGTGCTTTGCTACATACACACCGCCCCCCCCCTTCTCTTTTGATTGAGACGAGGTCTCATTCAATTGCTGCAGCTGGCTTGAGGCCTGAGCCTCTTAAGAACCTGGCTGGGATCACAGCAGTGAAACACCCTTTTCCGTTATGGCAAGTATTTTTAAAAACCACATGCATCGCACTAACCTATCTTGTGTAGACTGAACTGCCCACAGGTAACAGCAATTACGAGGATCATTCTCAGGCTCTTGGAAAACAACAGCATACACAGGAACCCTTCCACCTTCTAACTGTGTGTAGTATCTAAAACAGACAAGAAGATTAGCACAGCACTCAGCTTTAAATACAGAAAGGTGCCTGCCTCATGTAAGAACGTGGGTTAAGCAACCACTGTTTGGGGTTGTTTTTTGGTGGCATGCAGAGGTTTGAACTCAGGGCTTCCTGCTTGCCGGGCAGGGGCTCTGCTCTTTGAACTACACCTCCAGCCCACAACCACTGTTTACACACTCCCCAAAATTAAGTGACTTGGAGTACATGGCCTACTCATCTAGTTAAAGTCCAACTTGGCTTACACAATAAACATTATCTCAGGAGGAATAATAAAAGAAAAGCATTATTAGCTAAGCAATAACAGTGTTGAGGAAAAACTGCTATAAAAGCCAGGTTCTCCAGGGGCTGGCTTAGGAGCAATTCAAAAACAAAAGTTGATTGGACAGTTTAAACATCTACTTAACTCTTAGCTTAAAAAAAAAATAAAAGAACAAAACAAAAAAACCACAATGCCTATTTGCTATCTCCTTCGGTATTATAGAAATTCTTAACTACTACATAAAATGTGTCAAAGTATATTTTGGGGAGGTTTTTGATGGTATAAAAAATTTGTAATTCAAGTATTTTTATAACTTTTGTTTTTTAAAGGGGGGGAGGAGCAGGCGCCAGGGACTCATGCTTGTAACCCTAGCAACTCAGGAGGATTGTAATTCAGAGCCAGCCCAGGCATGAGACCCTATCTCAAAAATACTCATCACAAAAAAGGGGCGGTGGAGTTGCCCCAGTACTGCAAGAAAAAAAAAAACCAAAAAAACAAAAAAAAAAAACCCTTTATGGAATGGCTACTTTACACAGACCACACACTTCTGAAAGAAGCTGGAGGGCTTGGGGCATGGCTCAAGTGGTAGAGCATTTGCGCAGCAAATCCAAGGCCCTGAGTTCAAACTCTAGTACTGCCATAAGGAAAAAAAAAAGTCATGCTATGCAAACATACAATTAAACCACATAGGATACACCCCAATTACTGCAATGCTTTGCTTTTGCTTTTTTTTTTTTAAGAGGGTCTCCCAAAGTTGCCTCAGCTTCTCTGGTACTCAGTCAGCCTCCCAAGTGCTGGGATTATAGGTGTGCCTCCTATATCCAGCTGTTTTCTTCTTTGAGGCAGGGTTTGTTATGGAGCCAAGCTAGCCTCAAACTCCTGACCCTCCCACCGCAGTGCTTTTTAAACACTGAAGAACTGACCTACATTTACATGCTGTATTAGTTCCATATATATATATATATATATTTTTTTTTTTTTTGGTGGAACTGGGGTTTGAACTCAGGGCTTCACAGAGCAGGTGCTCCACCACTTGAGCCACACCTCCAGTCCATTTTGCTCTGGTTATTTGGGAGATGGGGGTGTCAAGAACTCTTTGCCCAGATCCATTATATCAAATTATGATTTCATGCAATGGAAATTATTCACATTCAATTACTTTTCTCATGCTAATTTTCAAATAATAATTAGACACAAGTAATATTTAAGAAGAAACTATAGATAAAGAAAAAAGTTGTACTTACTCTCTTTTCAAGCTTTTCATATTCCAAAGAGCTAGACAACCATCAGAAAAACCCACAGCAAGCTGATTTGTCCTGCTAATGTAACTCAGAGTAGAAACAGCTATTCCGGATGGACTCACTAACTGGAAACACAGATGGCGGCCTTCTCTCATCACACTCTCTCTGATGTGTGGCACTTCAGCTGGGATACCAGTTATAACTTCAAGGTCTAATAAAAAGTGAGACAAATCAGAGTAAACTATGTGTCAAGCACACACACAAAAAATATTATCCATTATTTAAACAACAAATCAAATGAACTTATAGTCAATTAGAATAAGAAGACTGGTGATATTAAAGCATGCTGAGCTAGAAAACAGCCGTATTTCTCTATTTAACGCTGTAATTTTAGAAATTCAGCACATCAAATATCATCTAAGGTAGAACCCTTTTTGGGAATGGCTGGTTCAGGTTTGGAAGTAAGTCCATGACCCTGGTGCATCTTATGCCAGATATCAAGTATGTATCAAAAACAAAAGGAGAATGTGTCAGACAACATAAGGGATCTCTTATCAGCACAGTGTGGACATAAAAGCATTATACCATCATGATACTCAGGAAGAAATGGAAGAAAGGGGAAGTGAAGAGGAAGTCTACGTCTATGGAAGACCTGTTAGATCATCGTTAGGTATTCAAATATCAACTTACTACTGTGAAAACACTACTTAAAGAAACAGTACACATTTACCCTGCTTTTTCTGTACAAACTGTATTTCAGGGCAACCAAACAGCCCTAGCTAGATAAATGCATATAAGTTAATAAGGGTTAAAAGCTGGGCATGGTGGCTCTCACCTGTAATCCTAATTACTCAGGAGGCAATGACCGGGAGGACTATGGTTCAAGACCAGCCTGAACAAAAAGTTCAAGAGACCTCACCTCAACCAATAAGGTGGATGCGGTGGTGCACATCTGTCATCCCACCTATGCAGGGAGAGAGTAACATTCCAGGACAGTCCTGGAATGAATGGGAGACTCTATTTGAAAACATAACTAAAGCAAAAAGGGCCTGGGGGCGTGGCTTCAAGGGTAGAGCGCCTGCCTGGGAAGCAGAAGGCCCCGGATCCAACCCCCAATTCTACCAGAAAGAACTTTATTTTTTTTTTGATTTTTGTACTATTGGTCCTTTTCTTACATTTACTTCACAGATCTTATCTGAGTATATATCTGCAAACAAATCAATATCTCTACCCTTCTTTCTGTCTCTCCCTCTCACTCCTTCAGAAGGTCTTGCTCTGTAGCCCACAATGGCTTGGAGCTCAGGACCCTCCCCTCAGCTTCCAAGTGTTTACATATCCTACTGTAGCGTATGAACACTTCAACAAAATGGAGCAACTCGTGCTAGAACCATCTCTAGTGCTCAGATGCACACAGATATAAACAATTGGCTCTACAGAAAACCTGGGCTGCCAATAAGCCATGCCTTGCACCAGAATGCTCAGCTGCTCAATTTCTGGTGTTGAGTGAAGAGTGGCCAATTACCTGATGCTTGTATTTCATTCTGACTGCCTGACAAGTCATCCAAACACAGATCAATAAGAAGGATCTGCCCAACATCAGTGACCACCGCTGCCACACCAAAAAGCCACCGCAGACTTGGGTGCAAGTGCTGTGTGCTCGCGCTGGCACCCCCATGATTAATTATGGGTTCAATAGCTGTAACCTAGGAAATAGAACATGAAGGTGAGAAAATACAACCAACCACCTAAACAAATCCTGAAGTGAAAGCATATTACTAGCTACAAAAGGTTTAAGTATTATCAAATATAGAACTGGTACATTTGATATTTGTTAATACAAGCAACATAATGAAATCTCAGATATATTAACAATTACACTATTATTTCAAGGTATTATATGCAATTAGGTAACTGATGTTGACTGAGAGCTTATTATGTGCTAGTCTTTGTGCTAATTGGCTCATTAAATGTTCATAATTCTTTCATATTGGACTATCTATAATTATATCTCGGTTTAAATATGAAATAACCTAAGGCTTAGCCCATTAACCAAGTTATTAAAAAACCCATAAAATTATTAAGTGTAAAACAAACCTAAACTGTTCTCACTTTAACACTCCTAAACAGCCACTCTAGGATTATTCATACAGCTCTTTCTCCTAAAAATAAGCTGGGCATGGTGGTGCATACCTGTAATCCCAGTATGAGAGAGGCTGAGGCAGAGGTGGAGGCCAGCAACACTATACAGTGAAACCCAGTATCAAAATACCAGAGTAAAAACAAATCATTGCAGAAAAACATAGTGTTTACATTTTAAAAGCCAAAACAAAACCTCCCACAATAAAGAACACGGTAAGTTCTAGCAACTCAGGAGGTAGAAATCAGGAGGATTGAGGTCCATAGCCAGCCAGGGCAAATAGTTCTAGACACCAAAAATAACCAGAGTTTAGGCTGGCAGACTGGCTCAAGTGGTAGAGCACTTGTCCAGCAGGCATGAAGCCCTGAGTTCAAACTCCAGTACCACCAAAAATAAATAAATACATACATGCAATCTAGTCGGTCTCTCACAATTTGGAAGCACAAACACCAGACTATAAACTACTTCAGACCCCTACATCATCTCACAGGGTCTCAGGTAACTGTAATTTTGTCATTAATCTCCCTTTGAACTTTAGAAATTCTATTTTTCTATGATTGTACGCATCACATATGTATACATTACATAATGTATATATGGTATATAATTAGATAACTTATAATACAACATACATGTTACACACATTATGCGTATGCATATACATACATTTGTGCGCTGTATAGTCATACAACTGGAGATAAGAACAAGACTCAGTGATATTTTTCACATGAAGGATTACTAGAACATTAGATGTCATTTATAACTATTATTGCTCTGGAATTACCTAATCAAGACTAATAAAATTATATTTTAAATGTTAAGCTGATAATCTTAAACCTTTTATTTTCAACTTTTTACTTAAGAGTAATGAATTTATATAAAACAAGACAACAATTTTAAGTGCACAGTCCACTGATTTTCAAAGTAAACATATTCTTATCAACTTTGAGCTTTCAAAGCAGAACATCCAGGTATCAAACAGCACCTACCCTTCCAGGCAGAAGGACGGCTTTAAGGACCCTTGATATCCCAAGGTCATAAAGACAGAGAACACTTCCTTCTGCTTCTTCCAATCCTATTAACAAGCCGGTCCTCTTCTGCCAGGAAAATTCTTTCACTGCCAGGACTACAGGAGACTGTTCACTGACCCCGCTGAATCTATAGGCAGACAGCCGCTCTCCTGTCACAGAGTTCACCACCTCAAGCTGTGGGCCGCAAGCCAAGCAAGCCAGTCCGTTTTTCCCTAGGAGGAAAGAAGCACGGGGATATTGCTCATTTTAATGCTGTGACTACACAGCAAAACAGCAGTTAGCTGTTTTACATGCACCTTGTATATAGCTCATTCCACACAAACTTCACATACTCCAACTGAAATCTAATCATTTGTAAGAGCAGCCTTCCAATTAGTAAAGGAAACTGAACTACAAACACAACAAAATCACTCAGTAAAGCACAGACTGTGTGCTTAAATACATCGTTTCATTTATCACTTATCATAGCTCAATATAGAGATAAGGCAACTAAAAAAGCTTAATTCGGTTTAAATTTGTCTAAAGTCACACAGTCACAAAATAGCACAATAGACTGTAAATCTGTGTAACTCTAAGATTCACACTTTAAGTACTAGATTATACCCTAAAAGCTTTAAAGTAGGAGTTATGGCAGACATAAAATTCAACATTATTATTCCTGAAGAATTCACAACCTGAGGTAAGATATAACTACATAGCAATAGGAAATATTAGAACTCCTTCTCAGCCTTCTAGTCCTGTTCAAATTTCATTGTGCCTATGATAGAAAGACTCTGGAAGGTTTAAAGCAGGTCAGTAATGATCTATTTGCTATTAAACGTTACTCTGTGAACACAGAGTAGAAGCATGGGGAAGGTGACAAACTGCTGGTAACAGGAGACAGAGAAACGTGGAGATTTACCTTAGAGGTACAACTAATAGAATTTACTTGTTGGTGAATTAAATACATAGGATGAATAAAAATAGTATTAAGAACAAGCTCAGTGTTAAGAGTACCTGCCTTGCATGCCCAAGGCCCTGAGTTCCATCCCCAGCACCATTTTTAAAAAGGAAAAAGAAAAAGAACAGACTGAATTTTCACATAAGCAACTAGAATGATGGCAACTTTACTACTAAATCTGAAGTGTCCATTGTGCATCCACATAGATAGCTGGGTATACTGCACATATTGTAGTTTAAGAAAGTAGTAAGGCACAGTGGGAACCGAAACCCTAGGGTTCAATCAAACTCTTTTCTGCCACTTGCTACCTATGGAACTAGGATCAAGTTCTTTTTTTTTTTTAATTCATATGTGCATACAATGTTTGGGTCATTTTTCCCCCCACCCCTCACCCCCTCCCTTAACCCCCCCAACTCCTTCCTCTCCTCCCCTACCCCCTCACTTCCAGGCAGAAACTATTTTGCCCTAACCTCTAACTTTGTTGAAGAGAGAGTATAAGCAATAATAGGAAGGACCAAGGTTTTATGCTGGTTTAGATAAGGGTAGCTATACAGGGAGTAGACTCCCATTGCTTTCCTATACATGTGTGTTACCTTCTAAATTAATTCTTCTCGAATCAAGTTCTTAATCTAGTAGGTTCCCAGCTGCACAGAACAATGCTCATTTGGAAGAGTTTTATACCTGTATTAGTGAAAGGAAACGGCACTGCCTAGCACAGACACTTTCCTACTTTTAATATTCAAGACAGCAGCACCGTGAACAGCTGATGTATGTGCTTTCCTGCCCTCCTGCTGGGAAGCATGGCTGTGATGCTCACTTTCAGAAGCCCTTTGTGGTATCTTTCACTAGACTAAACTCTATCATGGCTGTTTTGGTATGGTTCTCTGCGATTTTAGACAATCTAAAAGCTATATGGTAAGATCTTATTCAGATGGAATTAGGAAGCAAAACTTCCTAGAAAATTCTTTTTTATTTATCACCCAGGACCTTACATCCAGATTTTTCTTTCTTTCTCTCTTCTCTTTTTTTTTTTTTGGGCTGTACTTAGGTTTGAATTCAGAGTTTTGCGCTATGTAGGCCAGATGTTTCTATATATATATATATGACTGTATAGATTCTAATTTCTAAACTTATCACCAATAACAACTTACTATTATAATGAAAGACCAGTTGTTCTAGTTCTGCTTTCCAAATACAAATACTGAATATTAAAAGGTACAGGTATACAACAGCAAATCGAGACTAGGAAAAATTTACTCTAATCTCCACAGACTCATTGATGTGCTCCAGCATATGTAAACATCACATATGTACCCGTGATGTTTTCTTCTTTGACATGAAAGAAACTAAAAACATTGTTTGTATTGGAAATGAAATTTACAGCAACATTTGCTTACCTGCAGCAAACTTTCCACGAAGCACAGACTCTAATGTGATCTCATCCTCTCCGAGGGCTTGAACAGTGACTTCTGGGAACTGCAGGAGACCACTGGTCACTTGGGCGGTTAAGTCTCGCATGCTTCCACTATAAATATTGTGAAAGATAACGACATTATGATACATCTAAAAGCGAGCCACACTTAGGCAGTATACAAAAGTAAGTAAAATAAAACTAAAATCTGATGACAAAATATGTATTGTGTGCATCTGGGTCTGAGATACAGTCTCCCTAAGAAACAGTATGTTCTAAGACAGTATTTCTTATACAGCCTTAGAAAACACCATTAAGCCAGATGTCCTATATATTAGTCCCTAGACTCTGTGAAAACCACACGGTATCACTCATCTTACTGCCTGAGCTACTTTCAAAGAATACTTCACTCGTACAAAAAGCAAGTGAGCAAGAGAGCAAGAGAGAGAGAGACACATGGAGGTGTTGATTTTAGAAAAGTTACACCTTCAGTCCTTTCTGGTTTTTTGGAGGGGGGTGCTGGGGACTGAACCAGAGCTTCTGAGATATATCCTCCCAGAAAGTTACCGCTTCAATAAAAAGAAACTCCATGAAAATGTCTAGACTCACAGAAATCTCAGAAATTGAGTTTGTTGTATCTTTTACTAGACAGAAAGTCTAAAATCATCTTTCATTTCCAAGTGTAGGGGACTAGACTCCCTAGATGATTCCTCTCTTACAAATAACCAGAATTGCTGGTTAGAATGCCAAGTGCCTTCCTGAATGACTGAGATGGCCACAGGGAAGTGAAGAGAAGTAGGAATTCTGGGAGTCACCAGGTCTGAGCCTGCAGACCTGACTTATTTAGAGCACCCATCTCCAGAGAGGCAGAAGGTGACAGACAGTCCAGAGTTAAGCTCCAAGGAGCCCTGACTCGTGTTCTCCCCTGATCTCCGCCTCTGGAGTAGCTAGTATTACAGAAGGAAGCCACCATGCATGCTATTATTCTACTTATTATTAAATCAGTAAATCTCAAGCTGGTAAGACTCAATGCAGCCCACAGAAACAACCAAATATCTTCTAGAAACTCAAGGAATTTGCAAAGATGAAGTTCCAAAGAAAACGAGATTACCATCAAAACAACACCACACAGGAAAGCTGGATCAGCAGCCAGCAAAATCAGACTATCAACATCTTTAGAAATTGAAATTATCCGAACAGAAAATGAGTCTTTAATGTTACGGTTATAAAGTAAACGGTCAGTTAATAAGAAAAACAGGAGAACTTCCAAACATTAAAAATGAAATCAAATGTAAAACTCATGAAAAAACGCAATAGAGCAATGAGAATTACAGCCACATGCAACAATATGAATATCAGAATATAAAATTAAACAAGAGTAGCAGAAAATACTGCCTAGAGATGTGAGTATGTGTCAAAACTGTGGGGAGAAAGGAAGAAAGAAACTCAAAGTTTGCAATAGCACAGTGGCACTTTTGAGAGGAAGGAAATAAGGAGCATACACAAGGGGCTCCAAAGTAATGGCAATGCTCTTTCTTCAAAACTTAAGAGGTGGTACAGGTTGCACATTCCTAATCTAAAAGTCTAAAATCTGAAACACAGTGCTGGCACGACACTCTTAAGTGGGAAATTCCACAGCTGACCTCATGTGACAGTCACAGTCAAAAAACAAAAAACACAGAACACTAAATATACTGTCAAAAATTACTTTGGGGCTAGCTGGTGGCTCATGCCTGCAATTGTAGCTACTTGTGAGGCTGAGATCGGGAGGATGGAGGTTCCAGGCCAATACAAAAAAGGGTTGGCAGAGTGGTTCAAATGGTGTAGTGCCTGCCTAACAAATATGAGGCCCTGAGTACAAATCCCAGTACTGCCTAAATGAATGAATTTCATGCTTAAACTTGTGGCCCATTCTCAAAACATCTCATTATGAATACATAAATATTCCAAAACCCTTAGTTTCAAGCATTTTGGATAAGGATCCTAAGTCTGTACATAGATATTCACTGCATCATGGCTTTTTACAAATATTCTGTCACATACATTCACCAAATAAATTATTTTGTTCACACTAATATTTAATGAACATAAACTCAAAGACAGTAAATAGAAAGCAAGCATAAAAAGCTTATTCACAATAAAGCTAGGAGAAAGTAGCAGCCAAGTCACACAGCACATGACTAATTAAATCCCTAAATATGTATTAGCAAGGAAGCAACAGTCTAAGAGATGATTCCCAAATTTGTATAGACACACCACTCCCCAAAACCAACAAGTCCAGTGACTCTCAGACAGCACAAATAAAAATGACTTTCAACAACAGCAGTGTAAGTCAGAAGAGTGTAGTATGTAGTATTTTCAAATTGCAAGCATAAATAATTGTCAGGGCTCAAGGACCTGGGTTCAATTCCCAGTACCACCAAAAAAAAAAAAAAAAAAAGCTGCATGCTGTTGGCTCACACCTGTAATCCTAGCTACCTGATTGGCAGAGATTGGGAGCATCACAGTTCCAGGCCAACCCTGGCAAATAGTTCATGAGACCCCATCTCTGAAATAACCAGAGCAAAATGGACTAGAGGTGTGGCTCAAGTGGTAAAGTGCCTGCTTTGCAAGCAGGAAGCCCTGAGTTCAAACCTTATTTCCAACAAAAAAAAAAACAACAAAAAACCAACCTGTCAATGGGAAGTAGCAATCATTAGCTCTAATAATAAAACCTTCTATATTTACACAATCTACTTACACACTCGTACTTCTCTCTCTCCCACAGTGTCTTAGTATCAAAGACCATTTTAGGTGGAAAGGCCAGAATCCAGTTTACTTTTCCCACTAATGGCCTTCCACAACCTTGACAAAACCAGTTTAATGGCAAACAGAAGTTAAAACCTTTTCCTATAAAGCAGAAAACCAAAGACATTTCTCCAGAACCAAAACCATCAGAATTCCACGTGGCAGCTTTTTCCAAAGTGTATTTATTGAAAGGAGAGCCAAATGGACATCTAGCATCTAGTTCCACAGTCACTGTAATTCAATCAACTTCTTGCTTAAAGAATTTTTAAGACTTTTATAAGGCAATTACAAAGTTCACGTGAAAAAATACTACAATAACTAAGCAAATGCTTGGAAATGAAATACAGTTAGCGGGGTAGGTAAGGGAGAGGGTTGGGGAAAGGGGGAGAAATGACCCAAACATTGTATGTGCGTATGAATAAAAGAAAAAAAAGAAATATAGTTAGTGTTCTAGTTCTTAAGCTGGGTGGTCTTTTGTCGTTATTTTAATATGAAACAAACACGATGCAGAAGTTTGCATAAACACAGAAAATTTTTCCATTCCAGGTATACCCTCCCAGCTGAAAAGCAGGACAAAGTGTTCCAACACTGGCAAGGTAGCACAGGACACGGGTCCCTGGGAAAGACAAACCGGGTGACCTCTGGGACTGTCCCAGCTTACTGTCTGTACAGAGTCTAGCACAGAGAGCAGGAAGAAGCGGAGGGGTCTCCTTGAATTCAGGAGCAGGGCTGAGATTTCTACTCTACAGAGGCAAAGGCAAAGCTCCAGAGATCTGTAGGGGCTCTCCAAGATCTTCATGTGGTCAGTATAAGCACAGAGTGAAGGCAGGCTGCCAGATGGCTCCAGGCTGGTCCACCTCCTGGGGCACCGGGCACTCAGACAGGACTGAGTACTTTGGAGTGGAGAAAAGTCACAGGTTGAAAGGCTATTTAGAGGCTGTTCTAGTCCTGTTTAAACAGACTCAAAATGCAAGCAATTTAGCTGCATCTTAAAACAAAGCTTAAGAATATGCAAAGGAATGCAAAAAAGAAATCAGTACTCAGAAGGTAAATTTTGTAGTGTCTGATATTCAATCAAAAGACAGTTCTAGAGAGCCACACAGATGGCTAACACCTGTAATCCTCGATACTTGAGGTTGAGGAAGATGGTGGTACAAAGCCAGCAAATAGTTCTAGAGACCCCACTTCCAAAAATAACCAGAGCATAGGCTGGCAGAGTGGCTCAAGTGGTAGCACACTTGTCTAGCAGGCATGAAGCCCTGAGTTCAAACCCCTGTACCACCAAAATAAGCAGAGCAAAATGGACTGGAGGCATGGCTCAAACAGTACAGTACCTGCTTTGCAGACTCGAAGCTCTGAGTTCAAACCCCAGTCCAATAAAAAAAAAAAGGCAGACCTAGAAATAAAATTGAAGTGAGAATTACTACACAAAGACATTAAATCTGTTGTTCAACCTCTGTCCAAAGGTTGAGGAAAACAGTTAAGGAAATCCCATGGGCAACATTAACAAGATTCAAAAGGAAGAGACAGAAAAACTAAAGTCTAACGTTTGAAAATATAATGACCAAAAAAATCCCCCAAATATTTAGTTGAAAACTATAAACCTACAAATCTAAAAACTCAATGCACCTCAAGCTCAAGAGATGTGATGAAACAATTTAAAAATACATAATTAAGGAACAAAGAAAACATCTCAGTAATCAGAGAAAAAAGCACTGAGCACACGAATAGACGAAGAACCAAGGTAAGAGCACAAGGCAAATCCAGAATGCAGCGGAAAACATATTTAAAGTCTGACAGTGTAAAGCCTATTTACTGGGCTGGTGATGCAGTTCTGGAGTAATTTGCCTAGCATGCACGAGGCCCTGAGTTCCATTCCAGCACCACCAAAAATAAAATAAAGTCTTATTTTTTAAAAAATGCTACCAACTTAGAATTTTATCTCCAGTTAGAGAAAATCTTTTGAAAATAAACCAAAAAAGGAAAATTAAAACAGAAAAAAAAAAGAAAAGTGAAGACCATTTACATACACAAGGCAGAAAAGATAATTATCAGCAGACTTGCACTACAAGGACTGTTAAAGGAATCCCTTCAGGCAGAGGAAAACTGTACAAATGGAAGTCTAAACCTATATACAAATAATGGCCACTAAATGCAAGAAATGGTGAGTAAACATAAAAACCTCTTTTCTTAATCTTACATGTAACAACGACACAAAGGCCCAGAGAGGAGAACTGGAGCCAATCTTGCATGATTCTTGCTATACACAAAATGCTATACTGCTTGAATGACTATAATAATTTAAAGGTATATACTATAAGCACATA